TTAATATACACTTTTGTGTTTTGTATTTATAAATGTGTTTTAAAAAAAGCAGCACATTTTAAATTGGCCAGTTTAGCTGGAAAGAATTTAGAATCGGCCATAAAATTTCATGATTGGTGCATCCCTAACCATAACAATGATCTTTACTTATGGAGCACTTTCCATTTTGGTTATGAAATCTCAAAGGAAGATAAACAAGACATTGGAAAGTTAAACGAAAATGTAAACTAAATGAAATACTAGCTTAATTTCAAATAATACCATAAAAAATATTTAATTTGTTTAGTCTTGTTGGATGATGTCAATAGCTCAGATATTGAATTCTTGGCCAACGTTTCCTCTTCTCTCCTCAGTTTGAGTTCCTCAGCTCCTGAGGCGTGTAGCTGGGGGTGTAACCCTCACTGTCACTTTATACTGTTGCTCCAGAGTCTCTCCTTTGACCACACTGTTCTCCTGGACTTCCTCATTTCTGCTGAAACCTGTTTCTTGGAGTATTGTGTTCTCTACCTGAAGCTTTTCCGAGACAACTGGCAGGACTTCTGTAATTCCTGTAGTTGTATTGAAGACTCTGCGAGAGTGAGAAACACTCAGGCTCTCCCATCTGCCTCTGAGGCTCCTCTTGAGGGAACATCAGGAACCTCTCATCTTCAGATTCCCCCACAGTCTAGAACTTCTGAGAAAGACTCCACAGCCTGCTGTCTTCCACGACTAGTGGATTATGGGAGCTCAGAGGAGTCTGAGGAGGAAGTAGGGAGTGTCTCGGATCTCCAGACAAAGAGGAGCGCTGAGGAATTAGCAGACACCAGCAGTAGGAAGGTAGTTGATTTAGAGGAGAAAGTGAGAACAGACTTCAGTAACTCTCTAGCTGGTAAGGTTATATTGTGCCTTACTGAGTTAAGGACTGTTATCACCAAACTTCACAGCAGAGGCCTTTTCCCCTACAATCCTACCTCACTTCTCAAATTGCTGATGGCTATTGAGGCTAAGTGTCATTCATAAAGCCCAACCGCAAGCCAACTCGGTTGATTTAAAGGGGAATTCCACCAATTAAAAATCATAAGAATTCATTTAAATAGGTGTAAACAAACATTCAGTCGTAGAGAAATGTACAGACTCAGATTTCTTTACAGTGGCAGTGATCCTCTTACATCTTATGTCTTTTGAGTTTTGATATGTAATGTTGATGATGAAAAAATCTGAAACAGTAAGTTTTCTTTGGGGACTAATTTGCCTTAGAACACCCTGTATGAACCCCTCCACCATGAATGGATTTGAAAAATACGTTTTTAGTCCAATATCTTAAAAGCAAAATCATAAGATAGTGTCTCAAACAGTGTTTTTACAACCATTACATGTAATAAACTTTATGGTAGGTAACATTTAAAGATGTATGTGTAATGTCTTCTGTGAAGACTATTTTGCCACACAGCACTTTGCATGTGTCTTTCCAGTTTGGATTAAATGTACAATAAAAAATCTCAGAAAAACTGTGAGTGTGTTTGCACTCAATAATCTGATCATATTTGGACTTCTGCAGTTATTCAGATGGTCATGTAAACAGGATGCTCAGATTTCCTAGATCAGAGTAAGAGTTTACATGTACTGAGAAATCTGATTTTAGCTCAGTAATCAGATTTCTCAGTACATGTAAACTCTTACTCTGATTTCTTTCAGATTTCTCAGTCTGCACATGTGTGAAGACAGGGTGGTACCGGAAATAAGCAAGCAGCGTTTAACACAGCACACATGAGACGCCAACAAAACACTTTTGGAGCGACGCTCATATTAAATACATGCTTGACAAAATGGAGGATTTAAATATTCTTCATCTTTTAGATGATGTTTGTTCATATTTTCAGGTAAAGTGGTGCAATGTTTTTTTTTAAAAAGCCGCATCATGACGTTTGAGTTTTACATTATGTTTACGTCACGTCTTCTTCTGTGAGTTTATTGGCTGGTTGCAAAGCAGAAATCTGATTACTGCCTGACTCACGTAGACCTGGAGTTTCCCCATTATCTGATTACTCAAGTGCATGTAAACGCATTGATTGGATTACTGAGAAAATCTCATTTTCTGCAGTTATCGGATTATTAAGTGCATGTAAACACACTCAATGTCTCAGACATATTCATAGCCATTCCTTGTAAAAAAAAATCAAATCTGTTATGTAGCTTAAGTTTCTCTAGAGCTAAGCATTTCACATCAAACCACCCTGAATGACTTTGTATACATTCTAACATGTAAATGCGCAGAGATTTTGAAAAATCAGGAGGATTTCCCCTTTGATCACTTAAAATTACTGTGAAACAAACTTCAAAATATTTGCCACTGAAACCATATGAACACCCTACTGTATTTATATACACTGTCTAGAGATTCTGATGCACTTACATCATATTAATGAGACCAAAGAGGCCTTGGCCTGTTTGAATTGTGTTTTTTACTTATGTAACTTGTGTAGTAATAAATGCACAAATGTAAATCTTAACACTGCTTGTTAATTCAGCTCACACAAACGTGTACAACTCAGATGACTTAAAATAGAAGAAGATGGAAAAGGTAAGACAAAGACTAACCTAAGACTAGATGCTCATTTAGAACAGTGAATGCATGTTGGATTTGCTTCAAAGTGGACTTTGATCATCATTATCAATAGTAAATGTTATCATTAGTAAGTTATCATATACAGTAAGCCTTAGGTCTGTGCTGAATTAGCTGTTTCTGCACTTTGCCGAGATGTTCCAATTAGATAATCAACTCTGAATGGTTATAAGAACAATGGCAGAATCGTGTGTTCTCTAAATTCTGGGAAAATGAGGCGATGTTCCTTTAATGGAACGTGATTACAAGCGAAATAGTGTGACTGGATGGAGTTCAGCTGTGGGCCTAATCATTAACCCTCACTAAAGTTTCTGCTGCTTAATTTGCATTATTTATTCAGAGCTCATCTCCTGCTTCCGCTTTTAGTTAATTAAAGTTTTGGAGTTGGTTAAAGCTGCCACACTTTCTTTAGTTTGAGGCCTTGTTTTATTTACATACTTAATTTTGCACCAACTTCTCCTGTAGCTGGAAACTGGAAAGATTTCAAGGATCTCGCATCGGAACAATGGTGTATTATTTCTCATATAGTGGATTATCTTCATTAAATTGCTTCATCTATTTTACCAGTGGAAGACTTTTACAAGTGGGACTAAGCCAGGGTTGCACTTAATCAACATTTAAAGGGCCCATATCATGGAAAACTGAATCTCCCTTTGATTTAATTTCCCTTTGGTTTGATTTAACATGTAAACTTTGTAAAAGTTTCAAAACATATCATTAATGCCTCAGTCCATAAACCATATATGGAAAATATCCCTGTTTTGAATTCATTGTTTTTGTAATGTCATAAGAGCCAACTCATTGACATGGGTCCACCTATTGAGCCTACAGCAGTTTAGCTTCACCTGTTCACATTAAAGCACTAAGGAGTGTTTCAACTCCTTTTCTTGAATGAGGGCAGCCAATCAGAACAAATCTCATTTATTTTACATCAGTCTTGAAGACACAGTAACTGGAACAGGCTGATTAATTCCAAGGGATGAAGAAAGGTTGGAATTGTGACCGTTATGACCATTTTTGGCACTTAAAACCACACAAATGTTAAAAAGTGGACCTTAGGGGTGAACACAGTCTTCCAATAAAAATGTAGGATACAGGCCCTTTAAATAACACCACTAAGTAAGAAGTCAATTCAATTCACATTCATATGCAAACAAGATGCAAAATCAGTTTAAGGCTCTAAACACACTAATATACTAACATAACATGATGTCTAGTTAGAAGCAGTGTAAGTTTCTGTGCTTTGAACTCAGTGAACATTATTAGGCTGAATTAGGTTAATCAGTAATCTCATGTGATCTTGTCGGCTCAGCATGGCCTGACTCCACCTCTTAGGAAAACACACCCAAACCCTTCTAATAAACTCATTACATGTAGTAATATTCATGTTTAGTCACATCCAGAAGCATAAAACACAAGTGAAGTTCAATGAACTCAAAATCTAAAAGTCAGCCAGGTTACTTTAAGGTAATATATATATATATATATATATATATATACATATATATATATATATATATATAATGTGCTGCTGGTGAGAACCAGTCCAGCAGTGACCCTGAGGTGGAGAACCAAAAATATCCAGCCAACAGCCTCCTGGAGGATGACCAACACAAACTGTGCAGCAGCAGATGAGCTATCGTCTCTGACTACATCTTCAAGGTGGACTGACAAGGTAGGAGTGTCTAATAGAGTGGACAGTAAGTGGACACAGTGTTTAAAAACTCCAGCAGCACTGCTGTGTCTGATCCACTCAGACCAGCACAACACACACTAACACACCACCACCACGTCAGTGTTACTGCAGATAGTACCTGCTCTGTGAGGGTCCATGGGGGTCCTGACCACCGAAGAACAGGGTAAAAGGCGGCTAACAAAGTATGCAGAGAAACAGATGGACTACAGTCTGTAATTGTAGAACTACAAAGTGCACCTATATAGTAAGTGGAGCTGATAAAATGGACACACATATAAACTGTGTTAGTGTTCTAGATGTTGTGGTGTTCCCATCACCACCACTATAATGAAATCCTCCTTGGTAAGTTTCTCAACATTGAACCATTTCAAACCACTCAGAATTGCTTGAATTATAAAGAAAGTTTGAAAATCACTGGAGTTGCCCTTTTTAAAAACATACTTGAAGGCCTGTTCATGACAAGAAAACACATGTTCATGCTACACTTCATTGATGATTTTAATATATTTTATAACTCAAATTAATCAAAAGTAACAGCACATCATAATAAAACGTGACACTGCCGGCTGGTCAAAATGTTCTAATATAGATCAGCAGTAAAGCTTCTCTATTGCAGAACAGTCATTCAGAGAGATAATGGTCCAATTTAATAATAACCCAGGGGATATATAATGATTATAAAGCAAAGCATCTGTGTCTATTACTTGTCTTATCTACAGGTGTGTGTGTTTGTGTTTGAGTGTTTTACATGTATCTGGAGGCGCCACTAGTGTATCACTCATCAGTGTCTTTATCACCTGTCTGAGGTGAATGAGGTGAGTCCTTGGGGCATGCTATTTCTCTGTGGCCGGAGAGTTTGTGTGGATCCTTACCTGCCGAAGGTAATGTGTGCGGAGGAGGGGAGGGGAGGGGAAAAAAGAGTCAATTGTGACTAAGCTGGGTGTGCCTACAAGGAATTCCAAACAAAGCGCGATCCTGTGTGACCGGAGCTGAGCCTGAGTTGTCATGCTCTACTTTTTCGCAGCAGCACCAGGGTGGACGTCGACCTGTTAGCCGCAACCTCAAGTGAGGAGTCCAGAGGGGAAAGGTCCATCTGCTGTCTGGCCTTAGCCTGGAACCAGGCAGGTAAGCGTATTGGCAGAGGCTGTTGCCTTTAACCCTTTAAAGTGTTTAATCAATCATGGAGTAACTGTTATGAGTTATTCATTAATGACTTGCAGTCAGTAGCGCATTGAATTAAACGTGAGTAAAATATATCAACACCAGTTTGTCTTTCAGTTTACTTACTTTTGCGAGTAACTGTGTTGATAATGTACATTTTATTCCCGTGGAAATGATGTACATTAGAATCAGTGAACTTTTATCCAGTGCATGGAGGAACTGAAGTCTTTCAAATTGGCTAATTCTGCCTTTTTACTTACATGGCAGTACAGAATTGAGCAACATGGGAGAAAGTGGGAGAGATTTGCACTCTCAGATTGGTGTTATGCATTGTGCTGCACGCTTTTAGGGAGTTTTGTACGATTAAGAGATCCTCTTACTTCCTGGATGTTCCATAACCCAGATAATTTGATATGTTCTTGTATTTTTATTCTTTCTGCTCTCTTGCTTCAGTCATTCAGAGCCCGAAGTGTTAAACATTCTTTCACTGATCAGAGTTTAATTATAACATTCTCACCCAGCTTTAAAACCTCTTTACAAAGCGCTGTTCCTGTTTGTTGGCTGCGTTCTCCTGGAAACAGTTTGTAATCATAAATCGAACAAGGCTGTAGATTTTCTTCAGTCCGCCTGTTTTCCACTTAATATACTGATTTTTACTAGAATGTAGTGAAATTTATAGTTTGAAACAGATGGTATGTTTCTCACTTTTGAATTGCATATATGTGAAATGTTCACTGAAAGCAAAGGCAGCCCTTTGACACTGTCAGAGACAGTTAACTTAAACAGTCCCTATTGTCCTGCATAGTTACCCCCCATTGTGTTTATCAGGGCTGCCTATCAGGAAGAGTTAATCTACTCAGAAGTCTCAGAAAAGGAGTGTAGTTTAGACCCAGGCTGAGTGATCCAGAGAAAAGGGAGACGCATACATGTGTACACGTGGAGCCTACACTGTTTACACAGTTCATGCTCTTTGCTCTTAATACTGTGCATAGACAAGTACAGTCAATAGGCCATAGCTGGGGCATTTAGTGCCTCTGCCTTGTATAAAAGTATAAGGTTTCTTTGTTGTTTATACCTGATTTGTTTTAATTGAGCTGATTACACATGCTTACACTGCATAAGAAATCTCCATTTTTGTCTTTTTTCACTTTTTTTCACAATTTTGTGAGGAATGGACCAATAGAAATGGTCCAGAATTACTTGCAAAAAATCTGGTTATATTAACTTTCATTAGAAGTTAGAAATGTTTTTCCTTCTCTTGTAAAGTTAGAATTTTTGATTCCGACATTTTGCATAAAGATTATTTTAGGAATATTTTTAGGTAAAAAAGCCCAAATTGTGTTGTGGAAACGAGTCTTCCAGTCCTTTCACTCGAATGGAGTTCATTAGAAGATTTACAACCTTTCTCCTCTGAATACTATCCAACTGTAATCATCATTCTAATCAGTGCTATAAAGTGTTTGATTCTTTGCACCATAAAAAAATAGCTGCTCTTTACACTGTGAATGTTTTAGAATGAATGCACCAACAGCAGTGCTCCACAGTTACTCATAATAAAATATCACTACACTAGCATATAGTGAAAGTATGGAGTTTTCCTTCTCTTACAGACCAAATAATCCCAAACACATTCAGTGATGTGGAGGTCTGGACTCTGGGGTGGTCAGTCCATTGTTCAGCTTCTTTGTTTGATGTCACCTTTTCTCAGTGAGGCTTCTTGACAGCTACACATCCTTTCAGACCCATAGCGCTGAGTTGTCTTCTCACAGTGGAAGGATGGACAGAAACACCTGTGGATGTTTTCAGATCTGAAGCAGCTTGATTTTCTCCTCTCTCTCAAAGATGAAAGCTTTAAGTGCTGTTTATCTGATGGGGGCAGTTTTGGTGTCTACCAGGTCTTCCAGGTGGTTGTCAGGAGTCTTTTCAGTGTAGCTTTTAAGCATTTTTTGAACTCCAGTTTTCAAAACATAGAACTAGCACTTGTACATGTTAAGAAAGCAAATAAAGTTGATATAAATTTAATTGACCCATTTTTAAAATATGTTTAAATTAATAGTGTTAATAGAACTTAATTATCCTAAGCATTAAATCAGCCAAAGTCAGTCCAGTCAAATGAAGCCTCCTCCACCATCTATCACAAGATGTATACTCATATAAATTAAGTCGGTGGTACTTACAATAGGACATACCCACATTACTCAACTATTTAGAGGCAGGGGAACATTTTTGATTATTTTTTTGTATTCAGAGATTTTACTTGCTCCTGGATCCATCTATTTGCACCACCTCTGTGTTGTCTTTCTTCTTAGGCTATCCTCTCTTGGGCGTACGCTTATATTTCCGCTAATAGGCTAGCCTTGTTAATGTACTTTGCTATATTCTATATTGCTGAGTGTGGTTTTAAACTGACTGGGAACTACCTGTTAAACTACCTCTGGTAAGATAATTTTAACCAACATAAGTTAAGTCAACACTAGTACATCAGGTTCAATGAACTTTAATTATTCGGGTGGCACTGCCACTTCGCAGCAAGAAGGTCCTGGGTTCGATTCCCCGGCCAGGCACCCAGGATCTTTTCTGTGTGGACTTCACATGTTCTCCCTGAGTCTGCGTGGGTTTCCTCCCACAGTCCAAAGACATACAGTCAGGCCAATTGGAGCCACTAAATTGTGTGAATGTGCATGTCCGTGTATCTGCCCTGTAATGGACTGGCGGCCTGTCCAGGGTGTTTCCTGCCTTGCATCCAATGACAAAATGTGATATCCGATCAAGTTTGGTTAATTAAATTATGTCGGATCAACAAAATTGATTTCTTTTAGGTGTACACAAATTATCTTATATCTAATCTCCTGAAAAATGAACAATAAATGAACGCCGTTTGGATATACACATATGAAACGTTTATGCAATGTAAAGGGCTGCTGTCATCATCAAATGGTGTAAAAAATAAAAACAGACATGACCGCATTGACAGGAAAACTTGAAAAAGCATCTTGTTCCATCACCATTTTGGAGATGCAAAGTTTTATTGCAATAGTGATGATATATTAAGTAAACATACTATAAGAAAGAACAGTAGAGAATATAGAAGTTCTGTTGAATTGACATTCTTGGTGGGAGCAGGTGCGTCTGTATGTGTGCAGGTCTGGGCTGATAGTTTTGCCTCAGGTCAGCGTTGCCCCTATTAATGTTGTTTTGTGTTGCAGCAGTTCTGTTTGTGCTGTCAGCAGCTTCTTGGAGGCCGTTGCTTTTACCAGCGTTTTTCGAGGCCTGCGTAGTTCGATACAAACTGTGAGGTGGAAATTTCAGGGCTCATTTGAACATTAACTCCTCGAGTGGTAAAGAAAGCCTTTACACACGAGCCAAATTCATGCCTTGTGGCGGTTGCTAGGATCCGGGCTGTGCATTCATTGACTCTTTGGCACGTTTGCTATTAATGAAACTGGGTGCAGGGGGAGGACCAGTGGCCAAATATTTACACTGGAAACAACACGGAACTCCCCAGGTTTAGACTTCATCTACTGTCCTTACACCTGTGTATTGCTGAGGAAACCTGATCAGTACAACATTATCACACATCCTGAGTCAATTTAACTGTGTACGATATGTATCACTTTTTTCTGAGGTTTGATTTTTTTTTAAACAAGTCAAATGCAGTTAGAATCTAAGACCTCAATTTCTGCTTGGAATTATAAGGTTCTATCTGGCAAAACATGAAAAGAAGCAGTGATTCTCAAGATACAGTTTACTTATAATTTGTTTCAAAACATAAAATTAGTGTTGTAATAGAGATCTACATTATCAGAATTTTTATGACATTTCTATGATGTTTATTTGTATCATTCATTTGTTTTTCTTTATATTTATTTCTTGTTTTAGGACAAATTATCTTTTTATTCTTCAAAAGAGCGCTGCAGATTAAATATAAAGATAAGTGCTGAATATTTTGTACAGTGCAGAGGTCAGTTTTAGGTAAAGTTTCCTTTATGTTAGACAGTGACCAGCTACTTTAATAAATGTAATAAATTTTCATGTTTCATAAAGTTTTATAAACTTTTTCCACAGTCACTGAGCAGAGCGGCGACATGACAAAGAAGCAGAACCTGACTGGTCCTCTTGTGTGTATTCGAAGTGCTGATTGGCTTGCAGATAGAACCTTATAGAACTAAGTTAGAGTTTGAGTTTGTAGATAGAACCAGAGTCTCAAAATGCATAGAACTTAAAAAAAACACCTCACATAATGTTAAGAAGTTGTCACAGAATCAGATTTTGTGATTATTTAAAACTCAATTTTGACAATAATGTCAGGTAGAACCTTATAATTCAAAGTGAATAATTTGGTTAAAATTAAAGAATGAAGTAAGATGATGTCATAATGGACTGTTATTGTATCTGCTGCTTGTTACTATGTGGTTTATGTCTGTATTCTGGTGGTTGTTGTTTACAGACTCTCTATAATCAGTCCAAATCTGTCTTTATGTGACACATGCAGTTGCTCAGTGTTCTAGAAATACTCACTGCACTGAAGATATAGGCTTTAAAATATACCTTGATGTAATTTATCACAATGATGGGGCTGTCATGATTATGACATTTTAGCAGATGATTAATTGCCACAATCAATAAATCCTCTTCATTTCAGTGGAGAGCTCTGCTGCATGGCGAAAAAGAAAAAGGAGAATTCAATTTTATGCAAATGAGTGCGGCCGTTGCATTGTGTTTAGCCAATCAGGCAATGGTAGACTGGCCTTCATCATGAACGCTAAACATAACGTTCTCCGAGAGTAGAGAAAGAGCGGCCCTGTTTCCCTTCACTGAATCCATAATAATCAAAATAATTATGAAAATATCTGGTTTTGATATTGATGATATCTAGTGAAGATGTGGAGGGGTGACGTTTGTTTGGATGAAGTTTACATGGTTCGAGCGGGAAGGCAAAATTTAAATCATACAGAGCTCGTAGGTTACTTGCTAAGAAAGTGCTTGCTAGTGAAACTGAGTGCGCTAACTTTCTAGCTTGTGCGGATGACATGCATTCTAAAAATAATAAAAGAATAAAACGCATATGTGTGTATTTGAGTCTCTTTGTAAGCTTCTGCGCAAGAACAAACAGCATATCAGATTGTTTAGTGCTTCAGAACATTACGGCTCCTTCATTTCCATAACGACATAGAAATGCCCACCTGAGAGATCTGGCATGGCGGAATGAGGCAAGAAGAAGTGCAAGTGTAAACTCACTGTTTCATTGTGTTAAATTGTGTGTGCCGGTTAAAGTACAAGCCCAAAGTGCCTCTAAAGGTGTTATTAACAATCAATTAAACAAACATTACCCACTGCCACCCTCTAAAGTTGTTATAGCACCAGACACACTTTTGTTGTTTTCATAAGACTCAAATTTTCCTTATTTACATGTACTTGCTTCAACCCAAATGATAAAAATGATTATTGTTGTATTATAATTGACCTGTCCAGGGTGTATCCTGCCTTCCACCCATTGACTGCTGGGATAGGCTCCAGCTGCCCCCGTGACCCAGAAGGATATGTGGTTTAGAAGATGTGTGTGTGTGTGTGTGTGTGTGTATTGTAATCAAAATAATTATGAATATAGTAATTATAGCCATTAGCTTAAATAATTGTGGGGAATTATGTATTATTATGTAATAATTGTGACAGGCCCACAAATATTGTCATATTGCCCACCCCTATATTCTGGTGTATCTTTAGGAACACTTACTGTTTACTTTTTCAACCAAATTCTTCTTGAATGACCATGTAGCTGTCACTGTTGGCACAGATGAAATCTAGATTCTGTCTGTTTCTCAGGTGAATGTCAGATGAGTGTAGTTTAGAATCTGGTCTGATCTGATTTGTCTGATGTTTGTTTTTCTACAGAGTGAGTGGGATGATTCAGACTATTGGAGAATGGTTCTGGTGGGACCGCCTCTGGCTGCCTGTCAACCTGACGTGGGCGGATCTGGAAGACAAGGATGGGCGTGTCTATGCCAAAGTGTCAGACTTGTATATCACCTTGCCCTACTCAGTAGTCTTCCTCATAATTAGATATGTGTTTGAAAGGTGGGTTCAAAGAGGCTGGATGGTGGGAACAACAGACATGTCATTTATGTTACCAGTAAATCCTGCACATCTTTACACAAACAGCTTTCACTGAGTCACGTTAAACAAGAAAGGCTGAATTCATTACACTCCAACTGACAACACCGGAGGCTGTAGACAACCAAGACATGTGAAATTTGTTTCTTTAGTTTTGCCTGGAGCCACAAAGCTAATGTAGATAACAAGTAATGGAAGTCTATGGGATCAAATAGCATCATGCTAGCTGCATGCTTGAATCATCACAACTGTGTTGTAATAAGTGAATGAGAAATCATAAATCAAAAATTGCTCTATACTACACACTTAAAAATGGTAGTTCTTCAGGGGTTCTTTAGTAAAGAAAATGGTTCTATATAGAACTATGAACATTCAAAGAACGCTTTCCGTGATTCATGGGTTCTTTGCATTGTAAAAGGGGTCTTCAGATTGATGGAGAATGTGCTGAAGATAGCACATATATATAGCACCAAAAAGGGTTCTTCTATTGTAACAAGCCTGACATTGTAACAACAGAAGAACCCTTTTTGGTGCAGTGTAGAACGCTTTTCAAAAAGGTGCTATGTAGGACCATCCATTCTCCAACAATCTGAAGAACGCTTTCATGATGCAAAGAACCCTTTAATAATGGAAAGTGTTCTCTGAATATTCATAGTTCTGTATAGAACCATTTTCTTTACAAAAGAACCCTTGCAGAACCATCAGTTTAAAACATGTATGTCTGAGTGAATACAACATCAGGGAGGGTCACAGTTAGCTAAGCCTTTTCTCTCCATGAGAGGTGGGGGTGGTGGAAACATTGTTACTGGTTAATAATTCACAGTGCACATTGACAATCAAAAATCAGAAGCTGTTTAAAAGGCAGGCGGCACGGTGGCGCAGTGGGTAGCGCTGTCGCCTCACAGCAAGAAGGGCCTGGGTTCGATTCCCGGCCAGGCGACCAGGGTCCTTTCTGTGTGGAGTTTGCCTGTTCTCCCCGTGTCTGCGTGGGTTTCCTCCGGGTTCTCCGGTTTCCTCCCACAGTCCAAAAACGTGCAGTCAGGCTGATTGGACACACTAAATTGCCCCTAGGTGTGAGTATGTGTGTGAATGTGTATGTCTGTCTGTCTGCCCTGCGATGGACTGGCGACCTGTCCAGGGTGTATCCTGCCTTCCGCCCAATGACAGCTGGGATAGGCTCCAGCACCCCACTGCGACCCAGAAGGATAAGCGGTTTAGATGATGGATGGATGGATGGATGTTTAAAAGGCAGGGCAAAAGTCATTGTGTACTGATTGAGAATTTTCAGGAGAAAACAGGAAATTAGTCTGCTAGCATTTTAGATATAGTTAACTTAGCCTTCAGCCTTTCAGAGCCATGCTGCGCTCAATCATGCCTGGCCTAACTGAGTTTGTACATTTGATCTACACTCTGTGCAGAAAAAATAGCTTTTAATTGTCCTAACAACAAATCATTAAGCAAGTACATAAAGTAACTTAGGATGGGATATTTTTCCCCCTGATTTCATTAAATGTTGAAGTCTTGTGGGTAAACTTGCAAAAAACATTGCCATTCTAGTTTGTGTTCAATGTGAGACCAAATATTCTCTATAAGGTTTTAATCTGGACTCCAGGCCTAAACAGTAAAAAAACACTATATTTTGGCCCATTTTATAACTGTTTTCCCACAATGTGATGTGGAGTAAAATTACTGTAACACTGTGTCTTGAGTGGCTTACTGGTTTTATAGCAAAAACTCAGCACAATTAATACAAAATGTAATTGAATATAATTGATGTGTGTGGTCATGATCAAAATGACAAAAGATTGAAATAGATTAAAATGTCAGCTTTTATTTCCTAATATTTACATCTCAATGTGTTAAATAGCTTAGAACATGGCACCTTTTTTTCAAATGAAGCCACCTGTTTTTTCAAGTGAACAAAACTATTGGAACATGTGAATGGCAGGTGATTCTTGTGCCCTGTTAGATTGTTAAACAATCTGCCTGTGAAGACTACATTTGTTGTTAAAAAGGGTAAACCAACATAAAAAAACAGAGCTGTCTATGGGAGAAAAGCAAGCCATTATTGAAGCACGTCTAGACGTCTTTGGTTTGTTTTTGTGGTTTCGGGTTCACTTACAAGGCAACATTCATATTTCTTCTAGCGAGCCGCATTAACAGAACAATCGCACCAGGGTTCATTGTAATCAAACCAAACCTGCGAGTGTGAACACACTCTGAAATTATATGATCAATTGTGCCTAATATGTTAAAAAGGGTCAATTTTGGTTTCATGTTGACCATAAGTTACCTCAAAGACTACATTTATATTACAGTACTTATGTCTTAACTCCAGTTTTTGCCTCAGGTACAGTCTTTATGCACTGATGGTTCAATTAGTGTTTGTATGTGACCTATATCTGTCTTTAGTGTGAACACACCTGTATCCTGAAACGACCCGCAGGCACACATACTAAACACTAACGTCACCTGAAAGATCAACGTGCGTCGACCAAAAACAAATAAAAGAACCTGCCTTCATTGCAAAGATTATTTCTCTGAACAGGTCTCAGCTGTCTAGCGCAAGAAGGTGGAAAAAGGCCAGTCATGCTTACTGGCACTAACATAGCTAAGTTGGCTGCTGCTGAAACTCATGCAGGCTCTGGATGATGACAGTAATATGTGTATGCATAGTATGAAAAATAACACATGAATTCTGAATTGACTGCTCTCATTTAGCACACATAGCCACACATATGATTGTCAGAGACCAGATGTTGTATTGACACAGCATTGAACAAATCAGATCTGTGTCACATAGAGGCAAAACACTGGATTTGTGCTGCTTCAAGCCGGAAATGTGAACACAATAAAATAGACTTGTGGTTTCTGAGACTGTAGGACATAGTGTTATCTATAAAATGGACACAATTACAGGCAAAAATTCAGGTCCCCAAGTGGCCATTCTCCAGGACGATGGAAATCAACTTGGTTATTTTTAAGTAATATAATCAAATTAAATATATGGACTTGCTTGCGCACCTATGAAGAGGAAAATCCAGTTCACTTTCAGTCTATCGAAATGTATTCCATCAAAGTAATTGTGGAAAATGTATAGTTCAACTGAGAGGCTACCTAAACCAGGGCTTGGTAATCTAAATGTTAAGAAGAGTCTTTTTGTCCTTTCAACAAAAATCTTGTACCTTCCACCTTGGAAGCCTCAACATTTTATGTCCATTTTTACTATCTTGGCTGTAAATATGTCTCAGTATGTGCAAATGTCCTAGTAAAGGCTAAAAACTATAATATACACGAAAACGCAGACTTACTTTGCTCTGCTTTAAGCTTTAGCTCAGCTATAGCCGCTTTTCTCGCATCTCCGTCAGGAAACTTTTCCGCAAACGTAAAACAGTTTCTTGTAAAATGTCTTTCTACGTTTGACTTTTTACGAGTCTGAAGTCACTTCTCATTTGCCAGCTTCTGGTTCAAATTAATTAATCAGAAGGTAACTGCAGTACCAGTTAAAGTGGAACGGAAAAATTCTAACAAGAAACTGACTACAGCTTTGTGACTTTTTAGTGTTTGACAGTTTCTCATTGCAGATTAAATGAATCAGAAAACCAGCTGGAGCGCTTATAAATGCAAATAAGTCTGTTTGTCTATAAATTATTGATGTTTGTCTTAAATCTTTCTCTTTTGCCGTGTCGTTAGCTACTAGCTAGGTAAAACTGTGTGAGAATGATCAGCTTTATTTTACTGCAAAGGAGGATTATTTTACATAAAAATCTAATTCTGCTGTCGAGCCACAACAGGCCAGTAAGAGAGCCACATGCAGCTCTGGAGCCGCATGTTGCTGACCCCTGACCTAAACAGATGGACACTGCTTTTTATTGCTACTATGTTGTGTACTGTTGTCCATTTTCATAGATAGCAGTATGTCAGGCATGTTTTTTTGCCAAACTATCACTTCAGAGTAACAAATAATTACATTTACATATCAGTATTGAAATTTCCCCAGTCTCCCTTTCAGTGAGCTGTGCTTTAATTTGAATGCATGCTCTTTTTCAGGGTTGTAGCCACGCCGTTTGCAGCCTGCCTTGGTGTGAGAGAGAAGAACAAACACAAAGTAGAGAGCAATCCCATCCTGGAGCACTTTTTCACCTCACAGTCCAAAACTCCAGCAAAGGTAGAGCACAGCACTTTCACACAGAGACACCTCAGCTAGTTCTCAAGAATTCTTCATTCTTCACATTCATAACATTGAACCTAGTAATGGACTTGTCGTAATAGTGGGCTTCAAGATTCTCTGACAGGTCAAATCAGGCATGATTGAGCAGTATGTAAAGACACACATTCAGAGCTGTTTCTCATGTCAGTGTCGACACATGTTAAGAAAGGGCCTATTTTGTGCAGTACAGCTTAACATGGTGGAAGATGTCCTAGGAATTCCTTGGGTCCTATGTCCCCAGGACTGTGTGATTCCAGGGTTTTGAGTTCCCAGAGCCCAGTTTTACTACAGTCCTATTTTCCAGGGCCCCATGGCCCTATTTTCCAAAGGTCCTATGTTCCCAGGATCCTATGTTCCCAGGGTCCTATCTTCCCAAGACCCTATGTCCCCAGGGCCCTATTTTCCCAGGGTTGTGTGTTCCAGGGTGCTATTTTCCAAAGGCTGTATTTTTCCAGGGACGTATTTTCCAAGGTTTGTATGTTCCCAGGGCAATATGTCCCCAGGGCCCTATTTTCCAAGGGCTCAATGTTCCTGTGGCCCTTTTTTCCCATGGTCCTATTTTCCCTGGGCCATATGTCCCCAGGGCCCTGTTTCCAAGGGTCCTATGTTCCAGTGGCCCTATTTTCCCATGGTCCTATTTTCCCAGGACAGTATGTTCCCAGAACCCTATTTTCAAGGGGTCCTATGTTCCTGAGGCCCTATTTTCTCATGGTCCTTTTTTTCCCAGGGCTCTGTGTCCCCAGGGCCCTATTTTCCAAGGGTCCTATGTTCCTGGGGCCCTATTTTCCCATGGTCCTACTTTCCAGGGCAACGTGTCCCTTAGAACCCTATTTCCAAGGATCCTATATTGCCAGGGTTCTATCTTCCCAAGTTTTTATGTCCCCAGGGCCCTATTTTCACAGAGTTCTGTGTTCCAGGGACGTATTTTCCAAGGGTGGTATGTTCCCAGGGCCCTATGTTTCCAGGGCCCTATTTTCCCATAGTCCTATATTCCCCAGGGCCCTATTTTCCAAGGGCCCTATGTTCTTGTGGCACTTTTTTCCCAGGGCCCTATTTTCCCAGGGCCGTATGTCCCCAGGGCCCGGTTTCCATGGGTCCTATGTTCCTGGGGCCCTATTTTTCCATGGTCCTATTTTTTTCTCAGGGCAATATGTTCCAGGACCCTATTTTCCAAGGGTCCTATATTCCTGTGGCCCTATTTTCCCATGGTGATATTTTCCCAGGACAGTACGTTCCCAGGGCCCTATTTTCAAAGGGCCCTATGTTCCTGTGGCCTCTTTTTCCCTGGGTCCTATTTTCCCAGGGCAGTAATCCATAGGGCCCTATTTTCGAAGAGCCCCATGTTCCAAGGGTCCTATCCTGTAGGTTTGATAGGTTCAGATTACCCTCAGTATAGGGACAGTTGTTTCGGAAAGTTGTGCTACTGGGGGAATGTTGAAGCACAAGACAGAACTCCAGAAGTGTAGCTGAGAAGATTAGGCTCTACAGATTAGCTAGCTGGTTCTATAGCTGAACCTTAGCAAAATCAAGTGTCCAGGACTGAGGTATGATTGAGGTATGATGCCTGTAAAGAGCTGAGGTAATGTGTAACCCTGCAGACATAAAACTCTTGCAACAGTGGGATGCTACTGTAAGTTTCTGATGTTAGCATTAGCAAATGTATCTGGGTTAATTACTCTTGTTCCTCAGGTTCGACCTTAGGCACTGTGGTGTATCCAAATTCACCAAACTTCTGCTGGGTTAATTATGGCTGATTATCAGAAATTAGCATTTTAATTAGATAAACTCAGACACTACAAAACACTCATTAGCACCTGGGTTTGATTAATGCTGAAGAGTGTGGCTTTGTAATGCTATTGCTTCTGATGTCAGAAGCACAAGTGAGAGGACTCTTTCTCTGTGCTTGGCCTCCTTTTTTTAATAAACTGTCAAGTAGTTTCTGGTTTCTTCTTTAATGAGATCACAGAAACTTCCCACTGAGCTTAAACTTTGCTATCTTAGCTTTGACACTGACAGCTGAATTCTGTATGTTTCAGAGTTTTCTATAAGGGACATATTTGTGTGTATGTCAAGGTCCCCAATGTCCTTGAAGCCAGTGTGTGTGGATTTGGCATTTTAAAACATTTCTTTTCAAACACAGTGACTTTTCAAAGTTTTCAGTATGTGATTTTTCAAAGTTTCTGAATAATTCAGATGTACGATATAAATAAAGTCATTCAGAGTGATTTGATGTGAAATGGTTCATTGTAGAGAAACTAACAGGCTCAGATTTCTCAGAGTTCCACTCTGGACGACTTTGTTTATATCTTAACCATTTAATTATGCTGAAATTCTGAAAATTCTGGAGACTTCCCCTCTAAAAGGATGAATGGATAAACAGAGAAACTCAGAGAAAGTGTGATGTCACGTCTCATTTTGCTTCTCTCTACTTTCTGTTATGTGTCTGTCCAGGCGGATATTCAGGGCTTGTCCAAAAAATGCAGCTGGTCAAGCAGACAAGTGGAACGCTGGTTCAGGAGGAGGCGCAACCAGGAGCGCCCAGGGGTCCTGAAGAAGTTCAGAGAGGCCAGGTAAGTGCAACGCTGCCCATCCAGAGCCTGGATGAAACTTATCAGATTTGGTAATATTGCAATATTATTTTCCATTCTGATTACTGTGACTGGATTAGTGTATTGTAGGGGTGTAAATCTGTGACCTCACAGCAGTTTGATTTGATACATCATGAAGTTTCAGATGATTCAGCTTGATTCAGTTATTTTAGTACAATTCAGAATAGTTTTAAAAATACATTGAAAGCACAAATGTGACTGGAGGAACTGTTTACACAGTAGTGGAATATGGACATTGTAGACAATACAGTTTGAAGACTCTGGTCAAATAATATAATTTGTCGATTTTCTAATTTAATGTAAGTTAACACATCTACTACAAAGAACTTACTTAACTGTGAGAGAAGTTTGTGAGCGAACTTGAAGTTGGCTTGACAAAGCTGTTGCTTGAAATCCCACGTGGTTGCTAGGACGTAACTAGGCCATTGATATGGCATCCCAGGTGGTTGCTATGTCATTCCACATGGTTGCTAAGATGTTGCTAGGGAATTGCTATGGAATCCTAGGTGGTTGCTAGGCTGTTGCTATGGACACCCTGGCAGTTGCTACGGTGTTGCTGTCGTATTCCAGGTGGTTTCTCAGGTGCTTCTTGGCTGTTGATATGTTATCCCAGGTGGTAGCTGAGGCGTTGCTAAGCTGTTGCTAGAGTATACCAGGTGGTTGCTAAGGTGTTGCTAGGCTGTTGCTATGGTACCCCAGGTGTTTGCTAAGGTGTTGCTGTGTCATTTCACATGGTTGCTAAGATGTTGCTAGGCAATTCTTATACAATCACAAGTGGTTGCCTAAGTGTTGCTAGGCTGTTGCTATGGAAACCCTGGCTGTTGCTAGGGTGTTTTTAGGGTGTTGTTGTGGTATTCCAGGTGGTTTCTAAGGTATTTCTCAGCTGCTGATATGCTAGCCTAGGTGCTAGCTAAGGTATTGCTAGGCTGTTGCTAGAGTACACTAGGGGGTTGCTAAGGTGTTGCTATGTCATTCCACATGGTTGCTAAGATGTTGCTAGGCATGTCTATGTAATCCCAGGTGATTACCTAAGTGTTGCTAGGGTATTGCTATGGAAACCCTGACAGTTGCTAAGGAGTTGCTAGGGTGTTGCTGTGGTATTTCAGGTGGTTTCTAAGGTATTTCTCGGCTGTTGATATGTTATCCCACATAGTGCTAAGGTGTCACTAAGCTGTTGCTAGAGTATTCCAGGTGGTTGCTAAGATGTAGCTAGGCTGTTGCTACCATAACCCAGGTGGTTGCTAGGGTGTTTCTAGGCCATGCTATCATGTCCCAGGTGATTGTTGTGTTGCTAGGGTATTGCTATGGAATCCCAGGTGGATTGCTAAAGTGATTGTTACAAAACATGTAATTTGCATACGAATGCATTGTGAATATTTTAGTGCACAGTACTTTATTAAACATTGTTCCAAAATTGATGCAGTTGAATTAATTCTTTGTTAAGCATCAATGCATTTTTACATTGCTGTTTTATAGTCAGTATTGGAGTCTATAACAGTAATATGACAAAGAAAGCTGTGAAATGTCCACTTACATTTGTGTAAGAGAACTCCCTTCATAGCTATAAGTTTCCTAATTGTTTAATTATCTTTGTCCACGATCGCAAACATTATCTTACATCCCTGTATTGTTTCTTGTAGCTGGAGATTTGTGTTCTACCTCGGAGCGCTCATCGGTGGCCTTATAGCCCTGTATGATGTAAGTATTTCTTTGTTTTTGGCAAATATTGCTTGTGTTATTCAAAAAACTGACCTTGTAGGGGGAAGCTCATTAGACTCTTGTTTATAGGAGTCCAGCAGAGCAGAGCTGTATAGTTGGAGGCTTTTGATAGTAGTATAATACATGAAATCGAACTGGAGTCAGTGGCTGTTTCTTTTTTTACCTTTTAATGAGAGAAGGGGCATTGAGCCAGCTTGCTCTTTTTCTAGGCTGGCATGCTAGGGTGAGGGGTAAGGGAGAGGTTATATGCTATCCTGCTAGTGCCTGAAGCTAAAGGACCCATATCCTACTATTACATCACTTATTATGTTTTTGTGGTTTTATGTACACAAAGCATCCGTAATTTATTTTTACATGACAATTTCTTAACCTCCATTTACCTCTTAGATTTGAGCAGACTGTATTGTTACTATACCTTTAAAACAGATATGTGTAAATGAGCTCTGTTCAGCTTGCTTTGTATTGTGCCTCATTCAAAAAGCAATCCGGGCTGAAACACTTCTTATAACTTCAGCATGAATCGGTGAGGCTAAACTGCTGTAGGCTGATGTATGTAAATGTGTTGGTTTTTGTGACATCAGAAAAATAATTCAACCGTTTTTGCTGCTTAGTTTCCATATACTGATTGTATGGATGAGGAAATCAACAGAATGATTTGAAACTTTAACAATCAAACTCTTTTATTTAAAAAACAAGTGTGGAAAATTCCATTTTGCATAATATAGGCCCTTTAAGTGGAATTCCCATGGTGGTCTGTTAGCTGTTACATCAGTTAACAGACGCCTGCGCTGACTAGCATCACGCTGAATGATGGGGGCGAAACGGGGGGTGCATCCTACCCACCAAGAGAGAGCGAGGCCAATTGTGTTCTCTTGGATTCGCATCACCAGGGATCAAACTACATAGTGTAGATTTAAGCCATCTCAAATAGACTTTGTGGTCCCCAGGGCCCTATATTCCCTCATCTAAATTGTATAGGAAACAGCTCCTGGTTGACATGGCTCCATGTTTTAGCCCCATGTTGTCCTAAGACTAACTAAAATGGAGTTTTGGACATGCTGCTTCCAAATAGGCTCCTTAAAACTCTGTTTGTACATTAAAGTGAACAAGAATGAGAGTCTGTTTGGTAATTTTCAATAGATTTTATTTGAATTGCACAACATTAACAACATTGCAAAACATTACCAAAAATATTACCATCTGTTTCGTCCAGTTTGTTCAAACTGGGCTTTAAACTACTCCATCTGTTGCTGAATATGTCTGCTGTGAGTTACTTTACTGTGCTAGCTTGTTAGCTCTGACTGCTCAGAACAACAGCAACAACAGAAATAACAGTTTGTATAACAAAATTTGCTCAGCTGGGACCCTAATAGTGACCTTAGAAACCCTTTCATATTCCTTGATGTATCACAGGGCCCTGGGAACATAGGTACACTTATAGCTTCCATTACCTGTTAGCTACATTAGCCTCATTGCTCCTGTGCAAAAGTAACAGAGCAAAACTTGGACATCAGACATGTTTTGGCTGATTCACTGCTGATTATTGACTGCATTTGGGGTTAAGGGGCACATTTGCCCAAATGACCACTTTAAAGGAAAGTTTAAAGGGCTAACAAGAGCTTTCTCAAAAACAGCCAGACATGCAACTGCTCCATCTTTTGCGACTGAGCTTGAAGGCACCCGGAGGAGCACACTGATTTCCCAGTTCGGGTTGAGCGACCCAACAAATAGCCATAATTAACTAGTATCACTCTGAACTGCCCTGAAGAAAGAGACTAAGGCTTGCTGTCCAACAGAAGCCTGCTGTGGCTAATAGCTGCCCAAATTGGTTGAACTATTTGTCACTAAATGATTAAATGAGGATGAATAGCTGCCCCTATTTGTCCCCATTACTCCTAATGACACGTTTAACAGAACGTCTGCTGCTTCTGTTTCTTATCAAATTAAGTATGAAAAAAGAGAGAGGGTGAGAGAAGACAACGATTTAGAAAAAGGTAAAACTGTGAATGAGGTCAAGAGGTTTCAGAGTTTTAAAATAATAACTGATCTTGTGATCCCAAGATAGCAAAGTTGTTATCTTGAGACAAGGAGTTAATTATCTCGTGATCTCAAGATAACAACTTTGTTATCTTGAGGTCACAAGATCTGTTATAGTGAGAAGTCCATTGGTTAATATTCAGTATGATATAAACACTGTTTGTTATGAGGAATTGCTGAAATATGTTTGTTGCCTTGAAGCAACATTGTGCGACGGTGGAATCAATTTAGTCAGGAGCTAATGAGGTGTTGCTTATGCATTGATGTCACAGAACACTGCATTTGCAGTACTTAACGATATTTAGATAAAACATCCTGTTCACTGTGTAACACTCTCTATTATTTCTTTCCATTGTGTTGCCTCAAGGCAACATACCAGAAAAGGACCCCGTATGCATCATTTTTTTGAATTGTTTTTGGCTTTCATAAAATATGCAAATTCAGGAGAGGTTTGTTGTTGAATTTAGTTATTGGGAAGAAAAGTGAATTAGACATATTTAAAACGTTGCTGTCCTATTGTGTGCAATAGAGGCTCAAAGAACCACTGAAAGGTTCTTTTTGGAATCAAAAGTGGTTTTACGCACTCCTCCATAGAACTCTTTTTGGTACCTTTATTTTTAAGTGGAATGTATGCTACAGTGATGCATCTTGCACACCGAACCCTCATGGCATATGATTTTGTCTGAAGATTGATTGATTTTTTTTTCTTCCTCTTTTTAGAAACCCTGGTTTTATAATTTACGAGAAGTATGGACCGCCTATCCTAAACAGGTGGGTTTTCTGATCCTCTTGAATTTAAGACTCTGTACCTCTAACCTGCTCGCACTGCCTTTACGCGTCCAAGAAAATAAAAGATCAAAATTTCCAATGAAGGTTTCATGCAAGGCTCAAATTTATGGCCTCCTTCATAAATAAACTTGATAAGCTCCTCCTTAGGTCCAAACAAAGCATAATTTCAGACCATATTTAGAATTAAAATAAGGGAAAGAATCTGGAATAGTTCACTCACCTCTTCACTGGATGCCAAGTCCTAATCAACGGTACAGTGAGGTCATCCACACTGGCCCACTACAGCTGGATTATGTGTAATTTTCACCCTCGGAGAGCCTTTTAATAACCCAGATGTGCTAAAACTACAGTGAATTACAAACAATAGTCCGTATATCTCACTTTAACAGATGGCGTATGGCTCTATTACTGCAATGATGCTAATCTGCTTTAATGGTGCGAGTCACGCCACTATTGGCAGACTGAAAGAGCTATTGTTGTTTTTCCCCCTGCAGTCCATGCTGGAGTCACAATACTGGTACTACGTTGTGGAGATGAGCTTCTACTGGTCACTTCTTTTCAGCATCACATTCGATGTCAAACGAAAGGTCAGTGTCAAACAGGACGGTGTATACTGTCTCTTTTGTATCGCAAGCCTTCCTCAAACAACAGTAAATTTTAATAGACATGTGTCTGAAGTAGATATGTCAGAATGTCAGAATGTCAGAATTAGGGCTGCAACTATGAAATATTTTTATTTTTGAATACTCTATCAGAAATTATATTGGATATTTAGATATATACGTTTAAGAAAAGCTCGAGACATATTTAGTTATAGTAACAGAATAAAAAAAACATTTTAAAACATTTTTTATTCTTTTTATTATTGAATTAATCAAATATTAGCAAATATTTGCTGCAGTTTCAGTCAGAACTTTTGTTATTACTATATATATATATATATATGTAAATATAAATATAAATATATATATGTGTGTATATATATATATATATATATATATATATATATATATACGTAGTAATAACAAAAGTTCTGACTGAAACTGCAGCAAATATATATATCTATATATATATGTGTATATATATATATATATATATATATATATATATATTTGTATAAAGTAATATTTGTTGCAGTTCTAGTCAGAATGAGCTGATGTAACTACGTTACCAGAGCAGCATCACCTAATCCTGAATAACAGATATATTTTCCATGTTATCAGGACTTTAAAGAACAAATCATTCACCACTTAGCCACGCTGACCCTGCTGGCCTTTTCCTGGTGTGGAAACTATATCCGCGTTGGAACGCTGGTCATGCTCGTCCACGATGCCTCCGATGTGTTTTTAGAGGTAAGAAAAGCTAATTATTTTGTTCTATTTGACGTCAGAATGCACTTTCTTTACCTTGCTTTCATGTTCCTGGTCATGTATCATATCTCCCATCAAAACGTAAGGCTGCCTCTGAAATGTCTTCTGATTTCTGATGACATCACCATGCACCAGCAGGTGGAGAAAAAAAAATGATTCAATAATATCATTTCACCCCTGCCTATCATAGAGAAAACACTCAGCCCGCTCATAGACCCTCACTGATACCGTCCTTCCCTCACAAAAACTTTACAACAAAACTTTACACAAATACTTTACACAATACAACTAAGTAAAACAATGCTATTGGTTGCTTTAAACAGATGGTGACCTTGCCAGCTCAATATGAACAGTGCAAAAATGTCATTCAGTAGATTTCTATGATTGTAGATGCATGATTAATAAAAATACTGTGTCTTTGATAATTAAATTTGTAGTTGACTAGTAGGTACGCTTTATATCAAGGGTGGGTAATATAAGTATATTGATCATTGAGTGCATTTACATGCACTAAATAATCCAATAACTGCAGAAAATCAGATTTTGTCAGTAATCTGATCAACGTGTTTACATGCACTTTAGTAATTAGATAACGTGAAACTCCGGGTCTACATGAGTCAGACAGTAGTCAAATTTCTGATTTACAACCAGCCAATAAACTCACAAAATAAGACATGATGTAAAGGTATCGTAAAACTCAAACTTCATGACGTGGCTTTTAAAAAAAAAAAACTCACTACTTTACCTCAAAATATGAACACACATCATCAAGAAGACGAAGAATATTTAAATCCTTCATTTCGTCAAGCATGTAGTTGGTTTCAGCATCGCTCCAAAAGTGTTTTGCTGCGTCTTGCGGCAACGCCACTTGCTTATGTCCAGTACCGGCTTCTGTTTCGCACATGCGCAGACTGAGAAATCCGAAAGAAATCAGAGTAAGAGTTTACATGCACAGAGAAATCTGATTACTGAGCTAAAATCCAGCTCTCTTTATTTCTAGACCTTACTGGATTATTGAGTGCATGTAAACACACTTATTGTTGTAATGAATTATGTGACATCACTAAGCTTTTCTGAGCATATCATGGATATGTATGTACATGAAGAACGACTGTATGTTGCATTACAGAGGGAGCATAAATAGTCCTGTTTAAATGTGCAGCACTGTGTGTGAAAAGGTGAATAAAAGTCATTGTAGTAATAATTTTTAATAGTGTTTTTTAAATGTGTTTCTCTTCCAACTTATCAAACCTCAATATTATGATACATATTGAGTATCATGAAAATGCCTTGAAGTATCATGATGTCATTTTTTGCAGTATCGCCCACCCCTACTTTATACACTGGGAAATATATCACTCAAGAAATCGGCTAAATCAAAGAATCATGTTGAATTTCCATATGAAAACAAATATAATTATGATCGGTACTTTGGTTATTTAAAATACCTGATTTTATCTTAATCTGACTGAGCACTTTCTCAGAAGAGATTTTTTTCTGCTGATACTGATGTTTTTTCGCCAATGTTTCCTAATTGTGGTATTATTTCTAAAAACCACAGTGAGCCATTATCTTTTATCATAAGCACTTCTGAACTTTCACTGTTCTGTCCAGTCTGCCAAGATCTTCAACTACGCCAAATGGGAAAGAGTCTGCAACAGCATTTTCGTTCTCTTCGCTGTTGTGTTCATGGTGACGAGACTCGTTATCTTTCCGTTTTGGTAAGACCCCTCTAGATCCCCTTTTAGAGGAATATGAAATTGCTGAGTTCACTGTGACATCGCTTCTCAAAATCTGTGTCATCTTCATTTCAGGATAATCCACTGTACGTGGGTCTACCCGCCGGACTACTACCCTGTCTTCTTCGGTTATTACTTCTTCAATGCCATGCTTGTCATTCTCCTGATGCTGCACATATTCTGGGCCTACCTGATACTGCGCATGGTGAAGAAGTTCCTATTTGGCAGTGTAAGTAGTGTTTGGACATTTCACCTGCTTGCATAAGACGAAACTCTCCTTCAAAGCATCAGCTAGTGAGCTAGTCAGCTTCAGCAGGTCTGGCGGGCCATGCAGCCTCGCAGTGCATCTGAAATGAATGTTTGAATGACTGAGGCTGTAGCTAAAAGGCACAGTGAAATGATAGAGCTATCAACAGGTTTGAGATGAAGAGATAGTGGTGGAAAAAAAAGAAAGTTCTTTCACAGATTCTCCTCTGTCTCCAAAAGTGATATTTGTGTAACAATAACATGGACAAATTGCAGCTGCTTCAGGGCACATTTTGGGCTCTGTCTTTCCACGTGTGTCTCTCTAATCCTGAGAGCTGTAATAGTGTTATTGTGTTGGTAAAAACTCTTTTGGCACATCTTCAAGCCCTTTGCCTCCATCTAGTTGTCATTCACATAGACTTTAACGGGGAATTCCACCTATATTTCAAAATTTCTGCATGAGTCAACAGTTGCGTCATTGAGTCATTTAGATGTGATGTGAAATGGTTCATTGTGGAGAAACGTACAGACTGATAGGGACCAGGGTAACAGTGCAAATGTAGCCATTTTATTTACAATCCAAAATGACCAGTGAGCTTACATGAATATATGTAATGTTGACAATGATGGTAAATCTGAAAAAATTAATTCAGATAACAAAGGATCCAAAAGAAGCACCCCAGTACATCAATATTGAAAACAGAGTCTCAGCTTAAAAGCTCATGATGTGTTCATATCACAGTATCATATATCAATGATACTTGTTCATAAAGAGGTTAATAAACTAACATTTCGTGTTACATTAAATCATTCTGGGTGTAGCAGTTGCTGCATCTGCGTTAAATAGCTGTCTTAATTTTGGACGACAGTCATTTGTATCCAACAGACCATGTCCTTATGTCTCGTCTCTGCTCAAAAGTCTATATATATTACAATAATGGTCTCTTCTTTTCAGCAATTCGTTAGATGTCAAATAGGTCAGTACTGATCAGTTATCCTCTTATAGTTTTTGTATTTTGTTTAATTAGATGCTTGTGTGTCAGTATGTCTATTTTAAGTAATTGTTAGCCCATTTACTCCACCAAAGATAACTGACAGCAAAATACAATCTTTTTCATATTGCCCTTGGGCCTGCATTGTGAACTGATGTGTCGTCGACAAATGTAATCAAGCATCTAACAGCTCTAAGACTAAATTCCCAGATTTACAGCTTCCACAAGCTAACAGAACAGGTTTTGTGCTCCAGTGTGTGCTATGTTCTTAGCACACCTTCCTCGATGGCAGCACTTTCAACATCACAGTATTCATTTTTCTGAGGTTATGATGCTTCTTCCACCATGCTTGTATCCTCGATGATCTTCCTCTAGTTTGACTTCTCTTACACACTTAAAAATGATGGTTCATCAAAGGTTCTTTAGTAAAGAAAATGGTTCTATATAGAACCATGAACACTCAAAGAATCCTTAGCATGATTCTTTGCATTGTGAAATGGTTCTTTAGATTAATGGAGAATGTGTTGAATATGGTTCCATATAGAATCTTTTAGAAAGTGGTTCTATATGGCACCAAAAGGGTTCCTCTATTATTACAAGGTGATATATAGAACTCTTTTCAAAAAGTTTCTAGATAGAACCATATTCAACACATTCTCCATCAATCTGAGGAACCCTTTCATGATAATGCAAAGGGTTCTTTGAATATTCATGGTTCTATATAGAACCATTTTCTTTACTAAAGAACCCTTGAAGAACCATCATTTTTAAGTGTGAATGTAAAGAAATTCTATGTAAAATTCTATGTAAAGAATACAGGTCAAACAAGCATGGGGATGGTGGGCAGCCTTGCTGGACCCCTTTGCTGTTATGGAACAAGTCTCTTTGTCCACATTCATGACTGTGGCTTGTTGATCACTGTAGAGATTCCTCATTAGAATGATGAGATGTTCTGGTATCTCATTCCATAATGTTACAAGTTCGACACAGTCGAAGCCTTTGCTGTAGTTAAGAAGCCACCTGTTACTTTACAGTTTACACAGCTACTTTACACTGGTTGTTGTTGTTTACAGGGTTTCTATAATCTTTTCTCCACTTTGTTTTGTGCCTAAGAACACCATTCCTGTAATAAAATCACAGTAACGCATAGCCTCAGGTGGCTTATTGCTTTATTAGGAACTTGGAACTCCGTACGGCAGTGTTACTTTAAAATGAGGTGACAACCTTGTTCAGACAACGTAAACAGCAGCGCCTTTTTGACAACATTGTAGCAACATTGTAAGAAAGTAGACTATGTTAGTCTTTTTTTATGGTCAGTGTTTTTATGGAGATTATACAAGCTGTGTGTATTGAATGCCTGTAGACATATTGTGCATGTGGCTCAGTCTTGGCAGGAAGCCAACAAGTGGTGATGAGCTCACATGGAAAAGTCAAGAGACATATTGAGCACTTTCAGTTGGCGCTCTTTTTAAGCTCATCACTCCCACACCCTCTTCTGTGTTTTCTTTCAACCACCTACTACAAAGCTTGCCTCATCACTGGTTCCACCACTCCATGCAATCTTCACGTGCACACTGGTTAGGCCGGTGTTTTGGTGTTGTATTAGTGAGTCTGGCATGAAGAAACTGCTGTTGTCACCACAAAGATGATGTGATTGATTTTGATTTTTTGATGGTTGATTTTTCCCCTCAAGCAGAATACTAATCTCCTCAGAAATATCTTCTGGAAAATGACTAATTTGTATTTAACGGCTCACTGGCTCCAGGCCTCCATTCCTCATTCCTATAACTTAACAATATTGAATAGTTTTTCATGTAATTACTGAATAATAAGCCTTAGAAAGCTATAAACATGGGAATTTAAGGGGTTAATTAACTTGATGTAAAGCTCATAAGATGGACATAAAGCTGCATGTCCAGTGTCTGGACAATTCTTTATTATTATTATATCTTCAGTTTTCTCAGGCAAGTCTCAATTCTCATGAGAATGGAACGTATTCTTCTTTATTCGTGAAATACAGGTCAAACAAGCATGGGGATGGTGGGCAGCCTTGCTGGACCCCTTTGCTGTTATGGAACAACTCTCTTTGTCCACATTCATGACTGTGGCTTGTTGATCACTGTAGAGACTCCTCATTAGAATGATGAGATGTTCTGGTATCTCATTCCATAATGTTACAAGTTCGACACAGTCGAAGCCTTTGCTGTAGTTAAGAAGCCACCTGTTACTTTACAGTTTACACAGCTACTTTACACTGGTTGTTGTTGTTTACAGGGTTTCTATAATCTTTTCTCCACTTTGTTTTGTGCCTAAGAACACCATTCCTGTAATAAAATCAAAGTAACGCATAGCCTCAGGTGGCTTATTGCTTTATTAGGAACTTGGAACTCCGTACGGCAGTGTTACTTTAAAATGAGGTGACAACCTTGTTCAGACAACGTAAACAGCAGCGCCTTTTTGACAACATTGTAGCAACATTGTAAGAAAGTAGACGACGTTAGTGTTTTTTTATGGTCAGTGTTGTTATGGAGATTATACAAGCTGTGTGTATTGAATGCCTGTAGACATATTGTGCATATGGCTCAGTCTTGGCAGGAAGCCAACAAGTGGTGATGAGCTCACATGGAAAAGTCAAGAGACATATTGAGCACTTTCAGTTGGCGCTCTTTTTAAGCTCATCACTCCCACACCCTCTTCTGTGTTTTCTTTCAACCACCTACTACAAAGCTTGCCTCATCACTGGTTCCACCACTCCATGCAATCTTCACGTGCACACTGGTTAGGCCGGTGTTTTGGTGTTGTATTAGTGAGTCTGGCATGAAGAAACTGCTGTTGTCACCACAAAGATGACGCGATTGATTTTGATTTTTTGATGGTTGATTTTTCCCCTCAAGCGGAATACTAATCTCCTCAGAAATATCTTCTGGAAAATGACTAATTTGTATTTAATGGCTCACTGGCTCCAGGCCTCCATTCCTCATTCCTATAACTTAACAATATTGAATAGTTTTTCATGTAATTACTGAATAATAAGCCTTAGAAAGCTATAAACATGGGAATTTAAGGGGTTAATTAACTTGATGTAAAGCTCATAAGATGGACATAAAGCTGCATGTCCAGTGTCTGGACAATTCTTTATTATTATTATATCTTCAGTTTTCTCAGGCAAGTCTCAATTCTCATGAGAATGGAACGTATTCTTCTTTATTCATGATTGTCTTGTAAAAACATGACTAAGCTGTTTCCTGGTTTTACTACATACAGGAACTGCATATTTGTACAGGTCAGGTGTGGGTGGGGTTTTTTTCTTGACTAGTATCAATTAGCATTTCATTTTGCAGGCTACTTCCTGACATTTTACTTTAGTGTCTGTGTAAATTGTCCCTTATAACATGAAGGTGAAGCTGTTACATGAGTCATCTTACTTGAGTTTAGCTGACGAATTTCTCCTGGTATTGAAATACAGCATGGATTTACAGTTGGGTTAAAGATGTTTACTTTAGCTTTCTGATAAATACACTGTAGAAAATACACTGAAATGTTATTATTACCCTTATTACTTATCCATATGTAAATGCTAATAGAACGTTCTAAAAGTGTGCCTAAGTTGTCTCTTTTGTCTGACTATAAGTTGAGCACAGACAATATGGCAAAAAAATAACATCACAATATGTAACAAACACCCACCCCTGTCATATTCTTTTGTAAGCAAAAAAAGAAGAATAATTATTACTTAATTAATATTGATAAAGTAACAGTAAAAGAAATTTCAGAACTTTTTTTAAATAATTAAATTCATATAAATGAATAAAACTGATATCAGGGTACTATTGGTGCTTAATTTCTACTCAATTTCTACTTAGTTTGTACCCTGACTTGTTTTGGACTTAATAGTGTCTGTACTGTGACATGTCTTCATCTTAAAAGTATTTGTACTCTAACTTGTCTTGGACTTAACAGTATTTGTCCTTAGACTTCTCTTGTTCTCTAGAGTATTTTTATTCAGGCTTCTTCTTGATAATATTTGTACTTGGACTTGTCTCTATAGTATTTGTACTTTTTCTTGGTCTGTGTAGTATTTGTACTTGGCCTTGTCTTGGTCTCGATAGCATTTGTACTGGGCCTTGTCTTGGTCTGTATAGTATTTGTACTTTTTCTTGGTCTGTATAGTATTTGTACTTGGACTTGTCTTGGTCTCTATAGAATTTGTACTCGAACTGAACTCAATTTCTTTGTATAGTGTATAATGAAAGTCCACATAGCCATCAAATGGTTAGTTAATGCCTTTTGTTTGTGGTATGTTATGTTGATATAGTTCAGCCAATTGTTTTTGGCCCCCTTTCCCTCTAAATCCCACCAAAATAAGCCGTGCAAACTCTTTCCAACCGACTCCACTGAAAAGGCTGAGTCATAACGTGAGCATGATTGAATTGGCGCGGTGCTTGATCCCTGACGAATACAGTGGGCAGAGAATGCCAGGCCGAATTACCTCACCTTGTAAACGCACCAAGAGCCTGTTGCACTCAGCGAGCTAATTAGGTGTGATTTAATGTACATCAGACTGCGCACAATCGTGTTGCTGGGACGACTGATTGTCCTCCTCTGCATCTGGTTTATAAAAGAGACCTGTTAATTTCCCAAGAGTGTTTTGATCCGTGGAGTGCAGGTTTACTGCATGATGGATTGTTAAGTGTTGTATTTGATTGTATTTGTTTTTTTGGTGTGTCATTATTTCTGCAGGAAGCGTAGCCATCGGTCTGCAGTGTCACTGTAGTGGAGTTCTGAAATGCTGATGTTTTCTTTATTGTCTTTTGTTTAATTGAAGGATTTGATATACAGTAGGGTCCAAAGGTCTGAGAGCACTTTGAAAACAAACCTAGAAATAAACAGCAGAAATTTCAAGAATTGTGAAAAATTTTACCAATATAACAAAAATTGGAGAAGAAATATTCAAAATTCTGCACTATTTCTAGGTCACTGGTTAAATTTAAACAATGACTTTGTGTAAAAAGGCCAGTTTTTAAAATATTCGTATCTGTTGCACTGAAGCACTTGTTCAGATGTTTGTCAGATGGGTTTGATCTACTTTTGAACAAACTGTGGAGTCCATTCCAGCTGGAGTGTGTATATCAATTACTGAAAAATTCTGGAATTCACATTAAAATTGTGAAAAATTCTGCTTTCCACTCAAATTATTTGCTGATCATGTCATTTGCAATGATTTTCTTATTGCATTAAATGACAAAAGAATGCTAAACAGAAGCATTTTTAAAAGGCGCTCTCAGACTTTTGGACCTGACTGTATATGATGTAAACATTGTTAAATGTACCATTCACTCCCAATCATCCATACATAAAAAGCTGTTATGATGTCGCAACCATGAATACATCATACATTTAATGTCAGTGTGAATGCTAATTCATATTCCTTCCATGCTGTGATATATTTGCGACTGAAACATGTCATTAGGGAGGGTCTCCGAGAATTTTCTTATCTGGGTGGTGGAAGTGAAACGTGATATTATTGGTTAACCCCATAAAATCCCAGGCTTATTACATACTAAGGCTTATTACTACTGAATTACAGGGACCTCAATGCAAACTAGTTGAGTTATTTTTAGGTTATGGAAGTATGTAATAAAATGTTTGGGCCCTCGCCATTTAAGGGGTTAATATTATTTTGCCCCACCTGCTGGTGCATGATGATGTCACCAACAATCTGAAGATGTTTTAGAGATCATTACGTATTGATGATCACAGGAAAACAATAATTTAGTTTTAAATAGTATGATATGATGAATAGTGATTGATATTACTAGGAACAAGGTGAAAAATCGTAAAATCAACAAGGTCGAAAACTGAACAGCATGGATGTATCTGTTTATGCATCTTCTGTCATGCTGTTAGTACCGTGTATATATATATATATATATATATATATATATATATATATATATATATATATATATATATATATACGGGCTCCAGCACCCCACTGCGACCCAGAAGGACAGGCGGTTTAGAGGAGGTGTATATATATATATATATATATATATATATATATATATATATATATATATATATATACTCCTTCCTAACTTTTACGTTAATCATTTTTTTTCTATGTCACCTTTGACAGCTAACCAAAGATGAGAGGAGTGACAATGAAGAAGAAGATGATGATGATGAAGGAGAGAACAGCACGTCTGAGGAGCATGATGGACACCTGAAAGTGACCAACGGCTGTGGACGAAGAGACGTAGCAAACCATCATTAACAAATGGGATGCTTCCCTGTTTCCATGGTGATGACTGAAGGAGCTTAATGAAGTTTGGGAAAAAGACTTGGACTCCCATGGTGGACAGTTTTAACGCCAGAAATGGCCATGGACAAACACGTATTTGATTTCTTAGCATTGAGAATGTGGCACAGACCTCACTAGAAAAACACATGTATCACTTGACAATACCAAACAAAACACAAACACAAACAAATGCTTGTTTCCTTTCACTCAGTGCCAGTGTAGACTTGCTTTGGCTCTGTCTTGTTGGCCATGCTCTCTCTGTGACCTACAAACTGAGCAAGAACAGATGACCCCCAACCCAAAAGAAAAAGAAATGTTGCTTTTCTTCTCCATCTTGCCTAATGGGTTCCTCATTGTTTCTGCTGCCGTTGCTGCTCCTCATCATCCATCAAGGCCTTGTCTTTGTCTTTCTCAGACTCCTTCCATCCTGGCGTGTTTCGCATCAGTGCAGTCTGGCAGGACGAAGTTCTTTACGGCCCCAGGAGAGATGAAATAGCACTATAGGTTTTTCTCCTTTGCCAGATGACTGTATAGAAAAAAACACGGTGAGGTTCTGCTCTTGTATGGAACGGTAGAGTTCTGGGAAAAGCATTACATGGAAAAGGAAAAGCATCCATTACTGTTTTCTCTTGAAGTTATGAGCTGTGTAACCTGCCACAGCTAAGATAAGAGAACAGAGTCTCCAATGTAACAGAGAAAAAGGTCTTTAAGAACATTGGTCACCAGCTCTTTTACTGGAGATCTACAGTATTGAGCAAAAGTCTAAATATAATATCATTTTTCCAGTATTTAGTTTCTGTTTACCTTTAACTCAGCTTGAGTTCTTTTTAGGAGACTTTACATTTTTCAAAGAAATCTGCAGGGTTATTTTTCCACATCATGGTTCAGTCTTAGAAGTTTGTTGCATTTTCTTCTTCTCGTGATCCAAACTCCCTCCCTAATCTCCAAAATGATAACTTTACAGGAGAAGGAAAAAACATACTTTACTTTTAATGTAAATCAATGGAACCAGACGTCTTTCCAAGCAATTTTGAGCCATCTCTTTTGGTCCATTCATTGTGAATTTTACACACAATGTAAAGGCCAACAGGCATTTTCAAAATATGTCAAAAACTGATACAATGTTTTGTTTCAACAGCAGCGTTATGCAAGTGGATTATCTTAAATCTAATCTCCTCAGAAATATCTCCTGAAAAATGAATAACATGTACTTAAGGGCTGTTTTACCTTCAAACCCAATCTGATTGTTCGAGCAGTGTCAGAAATTGGGAAATACCAATTTTCCGACATGTTAAATGCCCTTGAAAAGCCGACACGGAGTCACACTTACTGGTAGGAAATTTAGAATAATAGAAGATACAAGATATTGCCCTAACCACCCTTTACATTTTGCTATGTTTCTGCCAATTTTTGACATCAAAAACATACACAATGAAATTAGAAGTGCAGACGTGAACCTTTCAATGCAGAAAGCAAATCAAATATAATTCATTACATAACTGTTCCAGTAATTGTAACACATAAACAGTATAGCAAATGACAGTAATACCCGTAGACTTCTACCATATGAAGATGTTTGAACAGTATGACATGAGAAGGAAGCTCTCGGATCTTGAGATCTGGGGTACATAATGGCCCCATCTGTGGACGATTGTGAATTGCTCGCTGTTGCAGCTCTGTATTTTAGTTTGAAGAGTCATATTTAATGTCACATTGAGGAGAGAAACAGTGTGCGGGAGAGCGTTGAACAAATGAGTACAAAAAGAGAATGAGTGTGCTTTTTGTCTTACCTTTTCAGACTTGAAATAGACTTTTTAGTTTTTTTTGTGTTTAAACGTATTACAGCTTTCAAGTGCTGCACCTGTGTTCTGAAGAAAGATTTTGTCATTGAAGGTGATGAGTTTTTGATTGTAAAGTATTTTGTTTTAAATTAAAAAGCCCTGTTTGATTAAAAATTGTGAATGTCCTGGGAGTCTTTTATGGTTAAACTTATTTAACAATCGCTTTGATATTAGACCAAGTACGTCAAATTGATAGTTAAACAAAAAATCTACAACCCCATTTCCAGAAATGTTGGGACGCTGTGCAAAATGTAAATAAAAACAAAATGAAATGATATGCACATCATTTTAACCCTATATTTAATTGAGAATAGTACAAAGACAACAAAGCAAATGTTGGAACTGAGAAATGTTATTGCAAATGTTAAATATATGCCCATTTTGAATTTGATGCCAACAACACGTTCCAAAAAAATTGGGACAGGGGCATGTTTACCACTGTGTTTCATCACCTCTTCTTTAAACAACACTCTGTAAATGTTTGGGAACTGAGGAGACCAACTGCTGTAGTTTTGAAAGTGATATGTTTTCCAGTTCTTTCTTAACATAGAATTTCAGCTGCTCAACAGTTCGGGGTCTCCTTTGTTGTATTTTTCATTTCATAATATGCCAAACCTTTCAGTGGGTGACAGGTCTGGACTGCAGGCAGGCCAGTTTAGCACCCAGACTCTTTAAACACGGAGTAATGGTATTGTAATATATGCAGAATGTGGTTTGGCATTGTCTTGCTGAAATAATCAAGGCCTTCCCTGAAAAAGATGTCGTCTGGAAGGCAGCATATGTTGCCAAAACATGTATATGTCATTCAGCATTAATGGTACCTTCACAAATGTGCACGTCACCCATGCCATGTGCACTAATGCATGCTCATACCGTCATGAATACTGGCTTTTGAACTGTGCACTGATAACAAGCTGAGTGGTCTTTAGCCCAGAGCACACAGCGTCCATAATTTCCAAAAAGTACTTCAAATTGTCAGACCACAGGACACTTCTCCACTTCCCCTCAGTCCATTTCAAATGAGCTTGGGCCCAGAGAAGGTGGCAGCAATTCTGGATCCTGTTTATATATGGTTTCTTCTTTGCTTTAAAGTTTTAACTGGCATTTGTGGATGCAGCGATGAATTGTTTTCACAGACAGTAGTTTTCAGAAGTGTTTGAGCTTATGCAGTGATTTCCACTACTGAATCATGTCCGTTTTTAATACAATGCCGCCTGAGGGCCTGAAGATCATGGCCCGCCATTATTGGATTTCAGTCTTGTCCCTTGCATACAGAAATTCCTCCAGATTCTATGAATCTTTTAATGTTATTATGTACCGTAGATGATGAAAAGCAAAAGTTCTTTGCCATTTTATGTTGAGAAACGTTATTCTTGAATTGTTGCAGTATTTGCACCTGCAGTCTTTCACAGAGTGGTGAACTCCTCCTCATCTTTACCTCTGAAAGACTCAGCCTCTCTGGGATGCTTTTTTTATACTCCGTCATGTTACTGGCCTGTTGCCAATTAACATTCAGGTGTTTTTGTTTATCAAAACACAACTTTACCAGCGTTTTGTTGCCCCCCTCCCAACTTTTTTGGAATGTGTTGTTGGCATCAAATTCAAAATGGGCGTCTATTTTTTGAAAATCAATAAAATTCAACATATTTTTCATATATTTTTCAACATATAATATGTTTGTACTATTTTCAATTAAATATAGGGTTTAAATGATTTGCACATCATTGCATTTTGTTTTTTATTTACATTTTGCACAGCGTCCCAACATTTTGGAAATGGAGCTGTAATAGTTTTACCCCAAGTGTAGTCAATCAGCCAACACATTTTGGTGTTTGAATTTTCTTTAGTTTTGCATTGGAGCTACGAGGCTAACGTAGCTAACAAGTAATGGAATTGTGCAAACTGCACATTTAAATAATTATGCAAAACCATGTTAAGAAACCTCCAGTAGACTTGCTTAATTACGTTCTGTATGTATCTATAATCGCCTGTTTTTTATCCATACTTTTGTCCATGTTTATAGATAACAGTATGTTTTACAGTGTCAGAAAGAATATTGACTAATCCATTTGAGATTACTTATCAATTCAACATGGTTTATGGCACGTATGTGATGATTAAGGCGTGCAGTTTGATGCTAATTAGCAGGCTATAAGCTTCCATTACTAGTTAGCTACATTAGCCTCATAGCTCCTGTGCTAAACTAAAGAAGCTTCACACACCAAACTTATCTTGGTTGAATGACTACATTTGCAGTAAAAGGATAATTTTTAAATTTCTTTTTTAGCTGCATTATTGTTTGAGGATGAATGAAGTATGGCGGTTTGAATGACAAGATAATTTAGTTAGTAGGTCCAGCATCATTTGGTCAGAATAAGCAAAAGATAGTGAGAATAGATCTACTGCAGACCTATAAGACATGACCAAGTCTATGTCTGATTACTTCACAACTTGACATGGTTTTGAGCATGTGTGTGATAATTTAGGCATGCTAATTGGTAGTCATGTACAGCTAATTAGCCTTGCAACTCCAACACCAAATTAAAGAAGTTGAAGTTCAGATACAAAACATGTCTTGGCTGATCACTTACATTCGAAATAAGAGGAAAAGTGTGTCAATTTGATTTATCAGAAAACTCAACCTCAGAATAATGTGTCTGAGTTGATTTCGCTAAGCTATGTAGCAGTGGACATGGTATTTAAAGTGGACCAGTAAGCCATGTTCCTTTTCAGTTGCTGTGCTTTATAATATGACCTTGTAATGCGCCAGTCATCCTCTAGGAGGAGCAGCTCACCACAATAACAGCACAAGCAATCCGAGAGAGTTCTGACTGTTCTTATCCTTCTGCTTCTGTATCAGTTCAGGATTTAAGATTATTTACTGCCACACAATAATAGTGATATTTCTATTCAGTATAGCTCCGTATATTCAATTTGGTAAACAAAGTGCCAGACAAAAGGTGCAGAATAAGAATACATTGGAAAAACTATGTACAAGTAATAATATGAGATGAAGTGTAATGTAAAGACTGTAAACTATAATTTTCTTGTGCAAATACAGCAGAGTGATGTAGTGTGATATATGCAATCATAACAATAATGCAAACCAAGGGAAGCGATAGTGAGCAGCAGCCACTGGAGTGGAGTTACAAGTTGAGTGCTTTAGTGACTGAGAGGAAGGAACTGTTCCTGAAGTGGTTTGTTTTGGTGATCATTAATGTGTGGGTCTGTCTAAAGGAAAGGTCGGAAATATGAGGGTCATTTTTGAAACCTTTTTCTTGACGTACTTAACGCCACCAGGGTTGCTGCTTAAGTGTGGCCTACCCAGCATGGAGGCTGAACAAAATATGATTCGTCATCACCCATAATTCTGCAGTAGCTTAGTCATCTACTCTCACCATCCTTCGCATATTCTGAATTGACCAAATCATTGCATTATCCTGTTATTCATGTTGTCATAGTGCCTTTTGTGTTGACCAAATGGTTTGGCTGAATTTTATTTAAACTATTCCCCCATGTACCACTACTGTGGCCAATCAGCTAGACCATATCGTTGCTGTCCAAAGAAAAACAAGATCTCCAAAATAGTAACTTTACAGGAGAGGGCAAAAACGTTCTTTATTTTCAATGTAAGTTAATGGAAAGAGATTTTATTCTAAGCAATTTTGGAGCATTTGTATTGGTCCAATCATCTTGAAATCTTCACACAATGTAAAGGACAGCTGCTGAGCTCAAATGATGCAGAAAAGTGAAAATCGCAAAAAATGGAGATACATGTTTTTCATTGGACAGCGACAATATTTGGTGTCTGAAGTTTGCTTCTTTAGTTTTGCACTGGGGCTATGTGGCTAATGTTGCTAATAAGTAATGGCAGCCTAGCAAACCGCAGGCCTAAATCACTATGAACTTGTCTCAAACCATGTTGAGATGCTGAGTAATCTCAAATGGACTTGTGAATGTGTTTTCTGACACTCTCTAACATATTGTTGTCTATGAAAGTGGACATAAATGAAAAAATTCAGGCATCCAGATGGCTACTACTACTGTTTTTAGCTCTGCAGTGTACCTTTTGTCCATTTTTATAGATCTGTAGGTCTGTCATTCAGTGTCCGAAACCACAAGCAAGTCTACGTGAGATTATTTCAACATATTTGATGAAGGCATAATGATCTGAGCATGCAGTTTAGGCAGTGCTAATGTTGATTGCATTACTTGTTAGCTGCATTAACCTTGTAACTTCAGCAAACCTCAGACACCAAATATGTCTTGGCTGATCGACCGTTTTTGGAGTTAAGGGGGAAACTGGGTACATTTTTGGCTGAACTGTCCATTTAAAAAGCACCTGCTTCGCTTGAAGTGGCTTTTCTTCCACACTGTGCTTGTCAGACAAGGAGACGGCGGGTTGGAGACTCTGAAGCTGCTGCTGTGGGGGCCGAACCTCCCGCTGCTGCTCACGAGGAAACACGGCAGCTTTTCTGCACAGAAGCCAGACATGTCAGATCAAGGCTGATTCTTAACATCTCATGGAGCGTGTCCGTCCATGACGGACCCAAAGCCTTTGGTGTTAGCTGTAAGCAGGCCCTTTGAGCAGAAATGAACCATTTTTCTGCCTGTTTGCACAAGCCTGTTTTCAGATGCTGCTGGGTGATGTAGTCATTGAAAGTGAAGGATGTGGTTGTTTGTTTCACAGAGCCTTTATGAGTTTGTTCTATGGATAGGCCTCTGATTTAGTGTGATTTAGCCTCAGTGCCCCCGCTATCACTACAGCACCAGTCTCAGGCTGGCCAGTTCTGCCAAGCTGCTCCCTTATAATGGCCAGCTCAGTCATGCCAGCTGCTTTGCTGCTCCCTGGAGCTGGCTAAAGGTCTTCTGGGCAGCTGTGCCAATGAAAAAAATGAGAAATCAAAGTGCTTCAAACAGGACTAATCCCTCTGTGGGCTCATTCTAAAGAGTTTGTCTACTGGCAAAGGCTCCTTTCCCTAGGTGGACAATGCTTGAACTGATCCACCACCATTTCCCAATCAAATCTTACAGAGTTATGTAACGCACAGCAGGATTTCTAAGTAAAGCTGGATAACTTAAGCCTGGGAAAGTACTAAATGGTTCTTGGGTTGGTTTTACAGTTCAAGGAAAAAACTTTTAACTGGTATAGAACCTTTATTTCTCATTTACGGAAATACATTTTTAAAGAACCATCCACTGAAAGGTTCTTTAGGGTACCAGTAGAGATTCTTCTATGGCATTGCTCTTGTTTTGCTTCCTTTTTTTTAGAAGTACACTGAAGAGGCTTAACTTTGGTATTAAGTTAACTGGCTTTAAGTTAACTGGTTAACTGCTTTTGTGGAATACCCTCCCTGTATATTCAGGAAGTATTTGGCTTAGAACCTAAATTACAGTACCCAAAAAAACCTCAATATCTAAATTGGAAGTCTACTTCTGATTGGAGATACCTGATAGATGTCACTATTGTGTCAATAGTTCAGCTTTTGCAGGCTAATTTTTAAAATTCATGCATAATTTAAGTGGTTTGATGTGAAAAAGCTTATTGTACAGAAATATGACTCAGATTCCTTTACAGTGGTGGTGATAGAAACCAGGGGCCAGTTGCACCAGCCATATGTAGGTTCAAATGTAGTCTAGTTGTAATGTAAATGTTTACTAAATTCAGGTTTATGCATTAGCAATTCAAAACAGGTATGTCTACAACATAAATATAGCCATTATATTTACTATCTAAAATCACCAGTGAACCTACATGTCTTCTGAGTTTGTATGTGTACTGTTAGTGATGATAAAACAGTGGTAAGTATAAAAAAACAGTTTATTTTGGAACTATTTTGCCTTACAATGCCTTGCATGGACATCCACCATGAATGGATTTAAGCAAAATATGTTTCAGTCAAAAACTTATGTTATAAAACAACAGTTCAGGCATCAGGCAGCATATTGATAACCATGTAAAAACTTTCTGTGAGGGAGCTTTTAGAGGTGGACACCTGGCTCCTATCACCACCACTGTGAACAGTTTTAACTTAGTCAGAGTGGAACATTTAACATCAAAACCATTCTGAATGACTTTGTTTACATCTTAACCATTTAATCATACATAAAGAACTTGATGGCTTTCGCCTTAAAAAGAGGCTTCTCGCATAAACCATCATTGTGCCTAATCACGTAGCCTACCTTTGACCTTCTTTAGCTGATAAAAATCCCAGCTGTTCTTACCAACATGCTCACCTGCAGGTCAGAGTTGCTGAATGACCTCAGCCATGGTTTGCCATTCTGCTAAAAGTGCAGGGAGTCAAGGCTGACGTTCATATACCTGTAGGTCAATGATGATAAGGCCCGGGCTCTGTTTGTCTGACACCATTATGTTCTGTTATGTACGATTTGTGTGATGGCTTCAGCGCAGACACAGCCGTCCCTGCTCTCTCACACCCTGCTGGGCTTATAGAGGGTTTGATGAGTAGCTGATGTGTTGAATCAGGTGGAATCAAGCAGAGAAGACATCAAAATATTCGTCTTGAGATCCTCCTAGAACAAAAGTGATTTAATGAGAACACAGAAACCACAGTAAAACAGTCATCAGATGTGATAGAATGACAGTGCGCTTAGTATAATTGTCAATTTTAGTTCCATGAGGGACAAACTCCTCACAAAAATCACAGTGCTGTCAGCCTTTGCAGCGTTGTAGACTTATTAGTTCAATTTTGACACTTACAGACGTTGTAGTCTGTTTATTTGCACACTTTGATAGGACATGACAGATGAATTATGACGAGTAGACGCTGCTGTCCATTCATGTTACACGGCTCTGTCAACATCTGATGCAGTCTAGTATTCATTTATCTGTTTATTTTGTGTTACTCGCAGTGTAAGTGGTGTAAGCAGTTGCTTAGCCACCCTGTTAGGATGTAGTTGTTTTATTTATGTAGTCAATCCAGATATCAGCAGAAAAATATTTTGTGAAGATATAACTGATGAATTCGTTTGAAACAAATCAAGACAATTTTGTTGTTTAAAGACTTTCTCTATATATTTTTAACCTCTCATATGGCCAGGGCCCACCAGCAGGCCCAAAGCTGTATTACACACTTCTATAGCCTAAGAATAGCTCAATCAGTTTGCATTGAAGTCCCTATTGTTACTGAATAATAAGCGTTAGTATGTAATAAGCCTGAGATTTTGAGGGGTTAATAAACAGTGATCTACTTTTATCTCTTGTGTCCATATTTACCCTATTCATTTTTTTCTTATTTAATTTAATTCTCCTGGTTTGGTTCAGCTCCTGGACTGCTTTGTGATTGCTCACATCTCATTTTGGAGCTTTACCATTTCATTTTAGACTAAAGGGATCCCAAAAAGAGAAGAAAATAGCCTAACACAATTCAGATCCTATGCTCATAGACTATATGTCCAAAAGTTTGCGGACATCCAGCGTTTCCTTCTGACATGAAGGGTATTAATAAGGAGTTTGTTCCTCCTTTGCTGCAGTAACAGCCTCTACTCTTCTGGGAAGGCTTTACACTAGATGTTGGAACATTGCTGTGAGGACTTGATTGAGCATTACAGAGGTCAGATACTAATATTGGATAATCAGTTCTGGATCACTCCAACTCATCTCAAAGGTACTAGATGGAGCTCCATCACTCCAGAGAACGCAGCTCCACTAGTCCACAGCCCAATACAGGGGGTGTTTATCCCCCTATAGCCAATGCTTGGTACTGGTCATGGTGACCTGGCTCGTGTTCGCCTGCTCCAGAGCGTCCTATTCTATTCCTCAATGCTTTTCCGCGGAGAATACACAAGCTGTGTGAAATCAAAGTAGCTGAATCCACTCATTAGAAAGGGTGTCTGGATACTTTCGGACATTTTACGTTCTGCGGGAGTTTTTGGACCTGAAACGTAGTTATTCCAGGCTATTTGTACATTTTCTTCTAACTTGAGTCATCATTTCATTGAATAACAATACTTTTACCTCGGCATTATCTCAGCTTGCTCCTCTCCTCCTCTGCTCTGCTTTTATTCCCTTTACCTCCGCCAACAGCATGGAAACCACGTGTACGGTTGCAGCCCACACTCCAGACCAGATGGCGCGAGCGTCCAATGGCGTCGCGGAGATCTGTTTTCATAAATCTCGCCAGCCAATCCGGTGGCGGTGGGCGTGGCCTCTCGCCTCAAGTTCACTCGGCTCGCCGCGGCGATGAATTCCTCCAACTTTGGGAAACTTCACTTCAGTGCAGTCCGTGTTTGCTGCTTCGCTTGCAGCCATGCCCGACCACTCTGCTCTCCTCCTGCTGCCTTTCTTCTCCCTCTTTTTCATCGGATTCGAGGCTTTATCAGGTAAGACTGTGGGCTAACACCTGCCTTTCTGTCTGCCTTTACTCATCGACCTGCCTGCCTTCCATTAGCCCTCCTCAGCCTGCAGCGACGCGCTGTTTCCTGCAAAAAGTTGAGGTTTGCTGCAGCCACTCTCACTGAAAACACGACCACTGCTCCGTCTGTAATGACTCGCATGCTGCTTCAATTATAATAACGGCCATGAAGTGTTTATTTGAGGAGCTGAGTAACGGCCTCCCACCCTTTTCCCCTTTTTCCACGCGATTTATAAAGTCTGAGTATGTTTTAAACGATCATGCAGAGCTCCTCTTGCACTTCCACAGTAAAGCTTAGCCCCTTACTCCTCTTTCTGCCTCTGTCCCCTCTGCTGCACCTACCGAGACTCCCACTAAGCAGCTAACTCCATAATAAGAGCAGCTAATAATGGACCAACATCTTTCTTACCGCCTTACAGCAACAACTCCCACTCTTACTGCGTCTAACTGTCAGTGTCTACCACCAGCATCTAGCCTAGAAATAACTCCCTGTCTTACCGCCTTACCGTCTCTAACTCCCAATAACTAACATTCCTACTGCCTCTAACTACCAGTGACTCCCATTCATGCTGCCTTTGGCTCCCTGTTACTCCACATCTTACTTTCCTACTGCCCTTAACTCCCAATAACCTCTCATCTTACTGCCTTACAGCCTTTAATGTCCAATAACTCCTTATCTTACTGCCTCACAGACTTTATTTCCCAGTGACTTTGTATCTTACTGCCTTGCAGACTCTAGCTCCCAATAGCTAACATTCCTACTGCGTCTTAACTGCCAATAGCTCCCATTTTTGCTGCCTTTAACCCCTTATAACTGCACATCTTACTGCCTTACAGCCTTTAACTCCCAAAAACCCCTCACCTTACTGCCTTACAGCCTTTAACTTCCAATAACTCCCTACCTTACTGCCTTGCAGACTCTAACCTCCAATAACTATCATTCCTACTACCTCTGACTCCTAATGACTCTCTTTCTTGATGCCTTTAACTCCTTATAGCTCCACATCTTACTGCCTTACAGCCTTTAACTCCCAATAACTCCCTACCTTACTGTCTTACAGCCTTTAACTCCCAATAACTCTCTACCTTACTGCCTTACAGCCTCTAACCCCCAATAAGTCATTATGTTATTGCCTTACAGCTTTTAACTCCCTATGACTCCCGTTTTACTGCCTCTAACGCCTAATAACTTAAATGCTTACTGCCTCTAACTCCCAATAACTCCCACTCTTACTACCTCCAAATGTAGGTTAGATGAGCTTTATGGCATCTAGCTTAGAAATACCTCCCTGTCTTACTGCCTTATTGTCTCTTACATCCAATAACTCCTTAGCTTACTGCTTTACAGCCTATAAATCCTGATAACTATCTTTCTGCCTTACAGCCTCCAACTCTGAATAACGCCTTATCTTACTGCCTTACAACCTCTAACTCCCAATGACTCCAATTCTTACAACTCCCTCAACTTCACTGCCTCACTGCCTTACAGCTATTAACTCACAATAACTTACTGCCTTACAGCCTCTAACTCCCAATAACCCACATTCTTACTGCTTCTTCTCCTCCTCTTATTGCCTTACTCTTTACTGCCTTAATTTTATTATCCTACAGCCTCTAACTCACAACTCTTTGTGCCTCAACTCCCATACTTCCTGCCTCTTACTTCTCCGCTGCTGCTGCTGCTGCTCCAGCCTTTCATTAAATGAACTAACACACCTACTGACACTGTCCCACTAAGCAACTCGGTTATAGCACCAAACTCACACAAGTGGCAAAGTTATTACTTGCTTCACTCTGCAGTCTGATATAAATGCATGTGCTTAGATTTTAACAACTGTAACCGACTTTCACTTTCGCACTTTAAATCAAACAAACAAAAAACTCGCAATAACATAAGTATTACAGTGAGCTATATCATTTCTCCTCCGTAGCGCACTCCGTGTTGTACGAGACGGACGTGGTGGTGCCCGTGGAGCTGCGGTCTGGGCAGGTGCTGCAGGAAGCATCCGGCTGGAGCGGGGGCCGCAGGAGACGTTCGGAAGGTCAGCATGACCACCTGTTTCTGTCTCTGCCTGCTTTCGGCCAAGAGCTTTACTTAGAGCTGCAGAGGGATGAGGCTTTCCTCTCTGAGGGTTTCGTGGTGGAAGAGCGGAGCGAAGGAGGGATCGTCCAGCACGAGCCAAACTTTAAAGGACAGTCCTGCTTCTATACTGGAGCTGTTCTCAACCACACGGACTCCTTTGCCTCGCTGGATGCATGTGGTGGTCTGGTAAGTGCTTCGTTGGCATAGAGATTGGTGAACTGAACTGAGTTGAAAAGTGCTTTGAGTTTGTAGCTAACTGAATTTGTTATAGGGGTTATTGGACAACCTACACATTTCATCCTTGATCACAGTTTACATTGTCGCAGATCATGTGTTGGATTTATATAGGATTCTGTAGTATTGTGGCATATCTGTAAGGGTTAAATGGATTGAGCATGTATGAAGATTTGCAAGGGACTGCATGGGGATCCAGCATGTATATAGACAGGTTCTACATATTTGGAGATTCTGCACGAATGGGGATTCAGAATGGGATTGTATTGAGATTCTGCGTACATGGAGATTCTGAATGGGATTCTTTTGAGAATTTGCATGTGTGGAAGTTCTCAATGGGACTATGTGCTGATTCTGCATGGAATTGTATGAATGTTCTGCATATATGCACAGTCTGAAAAGGACAGTTGGGAGAAACTGTTTGTGTGGGACAATATGGAGAATCAAGCAATCCCTTTAAAAATCGCCACATGTGCAGAAACTCCATACATGCATATTCTCTGTACGATCCCATATAGAGTCCTTATATGTGCAAATTCTTCATGAGATCCCATACAGAATCTCTCTACTATCCCATGGGATTGAATGGAGAATATGTATTTATGGAGATTCTGCATGTTCGGAGATTCTCCATAGGACTGTATTGAGAATTTACATGTATGGAGAATCTGAGTGGGATCATATGGAGAATATGCATGTATGGAGCTTCTACATATATGGAGATTTTGAATGGTATTGCTTGGAGAATTTGGATGTTTTGGAGACACTGCATGTGATTGGAGAATTTGCATGTATGGAGACTCTGTATGGGTTATATGGACAATTGGAGAACGTGTTGAGCATCTGCATAGACCTATATGGAGATCCTGTATAAAATTGTATGGTGAATGTGCATGAGTTGATATTTTGAATTGGAGTATATGAAGAACTCAAGAATCTGCATGAATGGAGATTTTGCATGCCTTGTCTGTCTGCGCAGTATTGAAGGGGCTTCCTTGGCTCAGGTTTAGCTAAGGTCAGCCTTTTAAGTCCCTGTGAAAAGCCGACTGACCTGCAATCAGTCAGAAAGGCTGAATGGGATGAGTAGCACCATTGTGACAAGCTGTCGGGCTGCTTTTGGCCAGGTCAATGGGTCCCCCAACCCCCCATCACTTTGTCTGGATATAGCATGAACACAGATAAGGAAAAAGACAGAAAGAGGTGGCAAATAGAGGTGTTTCCCTGTGTGCATACATGTCTGCATTTGTTGCATTGTTTGTAAATGTGTGCAGGACAACTGGGGGAGTGTGCTTCATCAACACCATGTCGAATTGAAAAGGCATGACAGTTGAGCAGCATGGGCATTCCTTCATTCTATCACTGGCACTATGCATGGTTTGAATTCTACAGTGTGCATGTGCATGTGCAACACTTGGCATGCGCCTGGAGGCAGTATCTGCTGGCTCTCTGACTCCAAGCTTTGGCCGTCTCTTCCACTTAGTCTGCTAACCTCTGCTCTACGCACCATATTGGGTCATCACAATCCAGTCACCCTCAGTCATGCAACACTGACTAATTACAAACTGACAGCGCCGTTTTCAATACGCTTTCCGCTTGCCAGACGTTTTTACCATTTTCCCTCCCTCTCCATATAAGCTCCGTTTAGGCCGTAACTATGTGGAAAATGAGGTCACCCTCGCCGCGAGTGCTCCAGGCACATGTGGAAGCGGGACTGGGTCAAGCTTTCCTGACACGTCCGGGCAGCGTGACAGCTAGCAGAAAGCAGGACGCCTCCCCAGATCAGCTGGAGCTCAGCTGGATGTTTTGACTAGCCTCATCTCGCAATCCTCCAAAACTCCTGGCCCTTTCCAGCGGGCCACCAGCAGTCCCAGCAGGCTGTCTGCAGGCAGACGAAAAAATCGGGGGTCAATAGTGATGTGATAGGCGAGCATTTGTGTTTGCATTAGTGATTGAACCACTGTAGCTAGTACTAGCCTTTGTATTAGTGATGTGACCCCTGTAGCTAGCAAAAGTGTTTGCATTAATGTTTTGACCACTGTAGCTAGTATTAGCCTTTGCATTTGTATTAGTGACGCGACCACTAACATTAGGGTTTGCATTACTGATGTGACCACTGCGGCTAGACTAATGTTTGCATTAGTGCTAGCAAGCTGTGTGACTTGGTTTGCGTTAGTGTTTTGACCACTGTAGCTAGTATTAGCCTTTGCATTACTGACATGACCCCTGTAGGTAGCATTATTGTTTACATTAGTGTTTTGACCACTGTAGCTAGTATTAGCCTTTGCATTACTGACATGACCCCTGTAGGTAGCATTATTGTTTGCATTAGTGTTTTGACCTCTGTAGCTAGTATTAGCCTTTGCATTACTGACATGACCCCTGTAGCTAGCATTAGTGTTTGCGTTAGTGTTTTGACCACTGTAGCTAGTATTAGCCTTTGCGTTATCGACGTGACCCCGTAGGTAGCATTAGCATTTGCATTAGTGACGTGACCCCTGTAGCTAGCATCAGTGTTTGCATTAGTGATTTGACCACTGTAGCTAGTACTAACCTTTGCATTAGCGATGTGATTACTATAGGTAGCATTAGCATTTGCATTAGTGACGTGACCCCTGTAGCTAGCATCAGTGTTTGCATTAGTGATTTGACCACTGTAGCTAGCATTAGTGTTTGCATTACTGATGTGACCACTGCAGCTAGATTAGCGATTGCATTAGTGACGTGACCACTACAGCTTGCCTTAGCTTTGCATTAGTGCTAGCCAGCTTTGTGACTTTGGTCGGTGGCATGTCACTGGTGCTTTAAGGATTTTTTTTTTTTTGAGTGGTTATATCACATGGTTTTTCTTGGCTGGCTTTCCACTGAAACAGTTTTTAGGCTAATGGCTGGATGACAGTCATGCAGTGTTACTGCTCTCTGGAAGGAGACTAATTGCAGCCCTGTAATTTGACTATGATTTTTGGATGGGAATTTACCATAAATGGGCTGCTTTCTGTCCTGAGCTTATAATGATAGAGTTGTGATTTATGCCTTTTTTCCTGTGCACTGAGCAGATATAATTACGCTTCAGGCCTTAGGCTCTCCATTCATGCCCTCACAACACACTCTAACACGATAAAACAATCTAATCAGAGTTTAGTTTTTACCACAGAGTGGTATTATTATTTTATTAGCTAAAGTATATTCGTGTGATTCTGGCCTGAAGCAAAACATACAGCATGGAGATGTGTAGGAGCAGACTTCTGTGGAATCCTGTGACCCTCTTTCATATGGAAATTCATTCTGTGTGGTATTCTCAATAGCATTTCTTTCATGCTTGGCCCCCTGAAGGACTGCCCTGAAGTTTAGCTCGGGTGCTGATGTGCTTTTCTTGGAGGGCAGTGGGAAGAGGGATGGCGTAGTATGCTGGAGCTCTGCAAGGACTGTATTTTGTCTGAATTGGTTTAGGAAAGCTCTGTCGTGCTTTTTAGCAAGAAAATAGGAGCATTTTCATGGTTTTCCACCTTAGCCGCTGCCTGAGAGCAGCATGGTTGGCCACATGACCTGCTGTGTAAAGATGAGTGAAAACCAGCATATGTTGTGTTTTGGATGCTGGTATGCTGATTACCAGCATGACCAAGCTGGTTGACCAGCTAAACCAGCACCAGACCAGCATAAACCAGACCAATGCTGCTTTTTTCAGCAGAGTAATGATTCTAAAATTTCTGAGTTTGACTTAATTTAATGGTATATTGTCTCGACACATTATTCAAGACAGCAAAAATAAAGAGTAGCTGAAAATGTGCCTTGTATTAATATGTTAATGTTTCTATTTCAGCTTAGAGCATTCCACATTATAAAAGTACAATATATGAAACAAATGTGTGTTCTAGTTTAAAGACTAATGTGCTTCTCAGTGCTAATCCTCTAACGCTATAGCCAATAGCTAATGTTAGCCCCTAACTAACACACTAGCCACAAGCTAACATGCTAGTCATGATACAACAATACAGTATATGCTGCGATAGTTTGGTACATTATATTTTAGCAGCCCTGTCAAAGGTTTGTGCATTTGCTAAGCTAACTGCTGTGAAACTGCTGCTAAGTGCTAATCATTTGACTTATTCTCTTATCCCTAGAGCTTGTCTTGTTAGCCTACCATTAGCGCTAAATAATGGATTGCTGAAAGTTTTGTGTACAAGTGGGTCCTTTGCAGTTAAGAAAAAAGTGTTTTACTTAATTATACCATTTTCCATTAGCAATTTTATTATATTTAATCTTGTTTTGGCTAAATGCTATGACATGTATGAGCAGCAGGTGATCTAAAAGGAAAATACTGAGGTGATCAGTCGTTATTGTGCCAACATTATTACTGTTTGACTGATTTTAGTTTGTAATCTGAGGATATTCCTTAAGAGTGACTCACTAAATATGGCCTTTGACCCTGTAAAGCAGTTGCTGAAGTGATACAGGCCAAGTTTACACAAGCATTAGCAAAAGCCCTTGAGTGATGTTGAGACTGGAAGAGAGAGGGAGGGAGAAAAAGGACTCCTACTCTGTTAATGTCATTTCAACTGAGTCTCCTCAGCGCGACTATATGCTCCTGCACCGTCTTTAACCCGTGCCTGGTCTGTGTGGGGTTTGCCCGTGCGCGTCTGGGATGAAAGCGCATGCTTTACGACCCCGTTCCGCCACTCCCTGTCAGCAGTCCTGTCTTCTTTTTTTCCTTCTCCTCCTCCTCCTCCTCCTCCCTTCGCGCCCAGCCTCAGGGCTCTGTCTTCTCGCTCCTTCTCCTTTCTCCATCCATCTTCTAGTCCCACCGCTCTGTTTAGCCAAGCTCTCAGGCCGTCTGATCGAGCGTAGCTGTTTTGCTGACTCAGCAGTTTCCCAACATCATCCAGTCGCAGACCAAGAAAGCCAACATCAGTTTCAGACTAGGTTTACTTCAATTACCTGGTTTTTAGCTCAAGTTAGCTAGCTAGCTAAGTCAAAGTAACAAAAGGAAAAAACTAATTTACACAGTTTTCCTCTTACCCCAGATATTTATCGGCCAAAATATGTTTGGCGTCTGAATTTTGCTTCCTGAGTTTACATCATGGTAATTCACCTGGCCAGTTGTTTCTAGTCATACAAGAATAAGCTCTTATCTCTTTAAATGGGCAGAGATGTATAATTCTGAAACTAAATGCCACATTAACATTTCAGAAACATATTTGATGTCAAGTGTACAATCTAAAAAAATGCATAAGTAATTTGTAGCATTTGGCTAAAATAACACACCCAAAACCATTTTTTTTTTAAGTTGTTCTTGCTACTGTGCACATATCTCCACAGGCTTTTCCCACTTGAATCTTTACCTGCAAGCCTGCTGTTTTTATTGAAGGGAGGGACCTGTAAACAAACATGTTGAGTGTTACAAGCTGTCCCATTTGCTTTTTAACTAATGAATTGTTTTCTCCTCCTTTATCATGTCTCTGGTCTTACTGTGTCCTAAGCCATGCTAATAAATCTGCATGATTAAAGACCAGGGTGTGGTTTGAGTGGGTTGAGAGGACAAGTTTTGGGGATGTATTTACAGAAAAGATTTGGGTGACTATCGGTAGCTTATGTTAACAATATTAGCTTTGTAGATCCAGCGCTAAACTAAAGAAGCTAAACATGTCTTGGCTGATCAGCTACTTCTGTGGTAAGTGAAAAATTATGCAAAATTTGTGTAGAAGTCTCAAATAGAGATTGACTTGACAGCTAAAGTCTAAATGCTACCTTAGTGTTGTGTTAGCATAACATAACTGTACTGGTGGGTACAAGACGAAAGCTACACCAAACCCTGAAACTGAAGGTTTAAAACTAAAAAAAGTGCAAAAGTGTGTTTTGGACAGAAGCAGCTCTGTCCTTAAAGCCAGTGGCTTGCCATAAGTTAAAGAGGGACACCCGCAGAGAGGCTGGGACAGACAAGGCCACCATATGTTGCAGGTTCTCCAGAGGCCTATTGATGGATGGAGCTCTATACTCTGACATTGAGACATATAGACTCTCCACCAGAGCAGGACTCCTGGGAGGACTTCCATGTTTGAGACAACCGCTTATGTGACAGGATGCTGTGATTCATTTTTGAACTCACAAGCCACTCTTTACATTAGCTACCTTCTGATAAATGGACATGGCTGCCCGTGGAGAATAGCATTCATCACATGGAGGAGCATGATGAATGCTAATAAGATGTTTTGCTAGTCTAGCTCATTTTTCCTAAGCATAGCTTAAGGCTAGGCTTTACTGGGGTTCTTTTCAAATCTGCTTTTAATTTAGGACTACGGTAATTGTGTTATTGTATAGTCTTTATCAGTCCAGCCTGAAATGAAGAACTACGAAATGGAATCTGATTGGTTTTTCCCATTAGTGCAAAGTGTATGGATATGTAAATCCTGTTAATAATATTGTTTGCTTGGTGTTTTGAAGCATATAAAGCATTACATATTATGAGAATGTGGTAACAAGGATGCTATGGTAACTACTGTGTTTGCCTAGTTTTATGCATGAACTCTCCAAGCTTTATGTGGTGCTAGCATTGAATGTAGGTTGTAGCCTTTTGATGTTGTCCCCCGCGCATACTTTTCCGATCAAATTTGCACCACCATCACAATCCTCTCCAAGTGGAAGTGAAAATGTGGCTGACTGATGGCCTTTAGAGTGACTCTGAATGGCTAGACATGGCTCCACATTCTTGCCAATCAGAGTCACTCTAAAAGCCAACCAGAGAAAAGCCAATCCAATGCCTGGAGCAATGAAAAAACAACTCTATTTTGATGCAGGTATCTAGCTAGCTAGCTCATAAACCATAAACTGGGGTGGTGATCTCCAGTCCTGGAGGGCTGCAGTCCTGCGCAGTTTGGTGGTTTTCCTGCTCAAACATACCTGATTCAACAGGAAAATCACCAAACTGGACACTGCTGGACACTGGGCCTCCAGGACTGCGGTTCGCCACCCCGGCCATAAACAGTAAAAACACAGAAGTGAACAGAATTATATCCTTACAAGAATATTGGTGTGTTTTGTAAACATGTAGGTAACTGGCGTGGTTGGCGCCAGAGCTGTGACTTAAGCTAAGCAGATAACCTTTCCTAGCAGTTATCAAGATGGCTAAATTGCCTGACATAAACAGTATAAACACAAACATGAGGATTAAACCATCTCATTCAATTTCCCAACTGAATGCATGTCATACATTCTCTCTTTGTGTGTTACTAGCTAATCAGTAGGTGTTCAAAGGGGGGTGCCAGATACTGGTAAATGTAATGATCTTAAGTGCTGCTTTGCAGCCAAAGCAGTAGCAGTATTGGTTAAGGATGAATTTAAGTGTCAAATTTCACCAAAGTTGAACTGGATGCAGAGTTTCATGCGCTAAATTTATTCATCCAGGAAGTCCTGACCACAGAACTTTCAGTTTGCATCCGTTCAGGCAGACCTTGTCATTTGGTCACTGTAACATATAAAAATGTGTGGAAGTACCTTTACTCCAGAGCTTAGCTACTTTCTGTCTTTGTACCTCTTTCAGACTGGCCTGGTACAGACCGGAGATGAGACCCTGTTCATTGAGCCAGTGGGGCATGTGGTGGACTCCTTTTCTGGCTGGGAGCACAAGGTGGTCCGGCAAAAGCGCTCCTCCAAGGAAACATCCCAGTCCACAAACAACAGCCCGAAATACTGCCAAATCATCCAAGGTGAGGAGAAGTTTGATTCACATGCTGTTAAACTGAGGCCATTCTTAAAACTTTTTTTAGTTGCAACATTACTGTCCTTTCTTGCTTCATTCATGTATGTAATTCCCTTTCAAAATGGCCAGGAAGCTTCTATTAAATTCAGGAGACTCACTTTCAGTTTTTCAAAGAAATCTGCAGACACACCTTCAAAGTTCAGTCTTAGAAGTTGGTTGCATTTTCTGCTTCTAATGATCCAAGTAATCCCAAACGCATTCGGTGATATTAAGGTCTGAACTCTGGGGTGGTCAGGCCATTGTTCAGCTTCTTTGTTTGATGTGTCTCCTTTTCTCAGTGAGGTCTTTTTGACAGCTACACATCCTTTCAGACCCATAGCACTGAGTTGTCTTCTCACAGTGGAAGGATGGACAGAAACACCTGTGGATGTTTTCAGATCTGAAGCAGCTTGACTTTCTCCTCTCTCTCAAAGATGAAAGCTTTAAGTGCTGTTTATCTGATGGGGGCAGTTTTAGTCATTTTTTTCTCCTTTGACTGTCCCCCCCTTTATGCAAGTGGGTTATTTTATATCTAATCTCAGAAATTTCTCCTGAATTGTAAATAAATGAATGGTGGCCTTTGACTTTCGCACTCTGCTGTAAATACTTACATATATAATACATATGGGACATACTCTTATTACATGTAAGTACTATATATATAGGACAGGTGACCCCACCTGTTTAAAAACAAGCTTGTGTGTGTTTTGAGGTGTTCTGCTGCAATCGCTGAGGCCTCTGAAAGCTCAGTGATCAAGCTATGAGCGCTCCTGCCATCACTAATTCCAGTGAAATACACTGTCATTGAAAAACCATTATGGCACTTCGCAGCGTGCTGTATTTCATTCTGCTTATTTCAACCGGGGAGTCTTATAGGATCACTTAGCCTGGGCTCTGTATTTATGATGTATTACGCGCAAGGAATCTGTTATGATAATCGTGACGCTCGGCTTTGCGTCTGTCTCCACCTCCGCCTTCCCCTTCAGGATGGCTCCTGGTCCGAAATCCGTCACATTCATAAATCAGCAGTTTCACAGCAACGTTTACGGCCATATCTAATCCTTTTGATGTCTTCATTTTTTTTTTAGCGGTGTTGAGAGACGTGTGGGGTGGGGGAATTGGGGGAGAAGGTGCAGCTGTTTTACCTTTTAATGTGCATTCATCTCTCTGGTCAATGTCACTAAACTCCTGTTGGAACCTGCTTCTGGGCTTCATAAAAGCTGTCGAGGAAAGGGCGAGAGAGAATTCCACTGATTTCTTACGTGAATAACACTGCGCATATTTTCCAGCCCTATGGCTACCTCTCCTTCGCCAAGATGTAAGATTTTCTCTCACTGAGAATGATCCACAATTTGAAAAATTGGCTCTTCTGTTCCTCGGAGAGGCCAAAAAAGCTCCTGGCTTGTGCTTGTGCTCATATTTTGGGACAGGAAGTTTTGTCTGAGCACAGTGCATTATTGGATTTGTAGTTTACTTTTTTAGGTTGGCATGGAAACCGTCGTAATTAGCCAAAAATTCAAGCCGGCAAGTCGACGCACGTAGAGATATACAGTCTTATCGGCCAACTTAAACAACATGGCTGGAATTTCCACTCTCATACCTTCACAGTTTGTGGCTGTTCAGAAACTTTTGAGGAGTTTTGAGTCCAGCATGGCTCTCTCCTTCATTTCGCCATTGTCGTGGCCTAATTCTTGGTTTGGCCCGACTGCGCCATGAATATTACATAACCCTCTCTTAAGGAGGAGGGAAAGACCACCAGAACGTTGACAACCTGTGTAAATAAATTCTTTCCATATGTCCATATCTGGAACTTCAAGTAATTGAAACCTGCTCTTAAAGAAGAGAGGGGAAAAAGGGAAGAAAGACAGAACAGAATGAGAGAGGGTCTGCGGGTTCTTGAAGGCCGCGTTTATGAGTAAGGTCTGTGTACAGGCTGGGTGAATATATTTTCTGTAATGTTCTGACTTTGTAGTAATGTAATCAAGACTAACCTACAGAAGCCACAAAACACGTTATAAAGTGCTTTTTTTTCCAAACCTTTTTAAAACCAGAAGAAAAATCTTATCACATGTAGGCTCAGTTTCCTGGACAGGGACTATGCCTAGGACTAGTTTTAAACCCTGACTAGAAAACCAGCCCATAGATACTTGCATATATTTTTATAATACATATGGGTTGTATTATCATGTATAGATATTTATGTACACCAGTTAGTACCAGTTCTTGTAGTTGGCATATTGAATGCAGGAGAAATGAGTAGGCTCTTGAAGACTTGAAGGACTTTGACAAGGGCCAAATCATTATGGCCAGACGACTTGGTCAGAGCGTCTCAGAAACGGAAAGGCTTGTGGGTTTCTCTCGGTCAGCAGTGGTCAGAATCTACCAACGTTAATCAGAGGAGGGACAAACTACGTACTGGTGGCAAGGTGCTGGGCGCCCAAGACTCATCAATTCATGAGGGCAACGAAGGCTATCCTGTCTGGTCTGAATACCTTGGGAAGCGATGGCACCAGGATGCACTGTGGAAAGAAGACAAGCCAGTAGAGAGGATATGATGCTCTGAATATTTGGCCTCATTCACCCACCGTTCTTAAGAAGAATTATTTTCTTATTAAACCCACTTACATAGGTTTAACAAAGATTCTGACATTTACCAATGTTTTCTTATTTGGGATTTGTTCTTAGGTAAGAACAGAATCTACACACACTCAAGAGCACCCAGCTGCGAACAGTTCAGCACTTTAAGAACACATCCTGAATGTGATGTAGACTTTTTTTTTTTAGGACCTTTCTCAAGAACAAATTTACGTAAAAACTTATGATGATATTGATGAGTAAGGTCCAATGTTCTGCAGGGAAAACCTCAGACCTTCCGAGTCCGTCCCGCAGAGTCCATACTTCAGCAGGTCGCAGCTATATTGGTGGTGCCTGGAGGACCAATAGCATATTAGGCAGGTGGTTGTAATGTCCTGGCTCATCAGTGTGTATATCATACATTTGGGACGTATTATTATTATTGTTATAATAGTAATTATTAATATTATTACATATAGGAACTTGGATTTAGGTAATACAACCCCTTTTCCAAAACAGTTGGGACGCTGTGCAAAATTCAATAATGGGCAAATCATTTAAACCCTATATTTCATTAAAAATAGTACAAGGACAACATATCAGATTTTGAAACTGAGAAATTTTATTGTTTTTTGAAAAATAGATGCCTATTTTGAATTTGATGCCAACAACACGTTCCAAAAAAGTTGGGATGGGGGCATGTTTACCACGGTGTCTCATCACCTCTTCTTTTAATAACACTCTGTAAGCGGTTGGGAACTGAGGAGACCAACTACTGCAGTTTTGAAAGTGAAAATGTTTTCCCATTCTTGTTTGATATAGGATTTCAGCTGCCCATCAGTTCAGGGTCTCCTTTGTCGTATTTTATTTTATAATGTGCCAAATGTTAATCCAGTGCAGAATTATGTCCGTTTTTAATGCAGTGTCACATGAAGGCCCAGAGATCACGGCCAGCAAACACTGGTTTTTGGCCTTGTCCCTTGCATACAGAGATTTCTCCAGATTCTCTGAATCTTTTAATGTTGTGTACTGTAGATGGTGAAAAGCAAAAGTTCTTTGCTATTTTGTGTTGAGAAACGTTATTCTTGAATTGTTGCACTATTTGATCATGCAGTCTTTCACAGAGTGGTGAACCCCTCCCCATCTTTACTTCTGAAAGACTCAGCCTCTCTAGGATGCTTTTTTTATACCCAGTCATGTTGCTGACCTGTTGACAATTAACCGCCAGGTGTTTTTTTTAGCATTACACAACTTTTCCAACTTTTTTGGAATGTGTTGCTGGCATCAAATTCAAAATGGGCATATGTTTTTCAGCATATAAACTCTGTCTGAAATGTGCACCCAGTTCATGGAAGATGGGGCTAAAATGGAGCGGAACTCTCTCAAGAGACTGTTGCAATCCTCATATGACCGGATTGATGCTGGCAAGAGAACATGTAACTAAGTATCCAAGAACCAAGAAGTGATGCATGCAGCTAATTTTTTGTCCGGTGAGCTTACCTACTGTGTAAACTATAATATTGTGTACATACTGTTTATATTATAATATATTATAAAAACATAGCATATATGGTACATTGTACATGCACATACTAATATATATATGTTGTCACTGGTGCCGAAAAACCTAATACCTTCAGTTTTGTCTTTTATTTACTTTTTTACACAATTTAAAAACTTTACTGTTTGCATTGTGTTACAATTTCTTGATGAACAGATCAGCAGAAACGGGCCAAAATGACTTATGTTAATGAAAAAATATTGTTACATTAACTTCTGTTACAAGTTTTAAATACATATGTTTTTAACAGCATATTAGTGCTGTCGCCTCACAGCAAGAAGGGCCTGGGTTCGATTCCCCGGCCGGGCGACCAGGGTCCTTTCTGTGTGGAGTTGCATATTCTCCCTGTGTCTGCATGGGTTTCCTCCCACAGTCCAAAGATGTGCAGTCAGGCCAATTGGAGATGCCAAATTGCCCATAGGTGTGAGTGTGTATGTGAAGTAATATGTCTGTGTGTCTGACATTTGATGGACTGGTGATGGACAGGGTGTTTCCTGCCTTCCGCCTAATGACTGCTGGGATTGGCTCCAGCACCCCCTGCGACTCAAGAATATAAGTGGCTTGGATTTTTTGTGTGTGTGTGTGTGTGTGTGTGTGTGTGTGTGTGTGTGTGTGTGTGTATTATTATTAAATATATTTAATACATATAGGATATGTATATGACCCCACACCCTGACAGTGTGTAAAAACAAGAAAGTGTATATGTGATTGGACTTCACTGATCTGCCGTTTGAAGCTCCAGGTGCTTTAGCCATTGTGCTCTCCGTAGCACCTGGCGTCTGCAGAGCGGGTGAGCCGAGAGGCATGAGGTGCCAGATTTTGGGGAGAAATTC